GTCACCAAGTTTCGTAACACTCCAATGAAACTGTGATTTTTAAAAATTCAAAACAGATTTTTTGTAGTCTGAATTTATTGGTGTGTATGTGTATAAAGTGTGTTTGTATGTGTGTGTGGGTGGGTGGGTGTAAATTTGTTGCACTCTTGATGTTGTAGAGTGTCACCCCTTTACTGCGGTATACTTCTTTTAAGAGTCGTGGCCGATTTGTGGATTGTGAACAAATTCTGAGAATTTTTGTTTTTTTGTAAATTTCTCATTCATTTCCTATGGGTCGGTCATTTCTGACCGAAGACCACGTGTGTGACTATTTTTTTTACGACCACTTAGCATGCTCGGATCATGACTTCAATTTTCACATCACATACCAAATGCCAAAAAAGTCACCAAGTATCATAACCTTCCGATGAAGCTGTGATTTTTAATAATTTAAAACAGAAAATTATTCGATCAGAAGTGACTGAGGACCATCAGATAATCAGTGGTTGAAATCGGACTGGTTGTTGACCACATTTTGCGTTTTTATTCCCTGTAGTCAATAATATTATCCCTTAAAGGACAACTCCGGCGCATGAATCTTTGGTCTAATTACACATTGGTACATAGTCAACCGTTCCCTGAGATTTGTTTCCATGGTAATCGAATGTAAAGAGTTTTATCTCTAAAAACTGTTTCGCTTATAACGCTAGTATATGGGGCATAGAGTGATACAAATATAATTGCTAATTTATACCACTAACAAGGCTCAAAATAGCCCCACACTAACACAGTAACATAATGAGGGTCCATACATGCAAACCGAAGCATTGAGAACGTTGTAAGTGTACAGACCGTTTAATAAGAAGATACTTTATAAAGACAGTCCACTTCGTGTATACAGAGAGAAGCCATCTTTGGAAAACAGTCTCGAGCAGTCGAACCACGAACGGCGTTCGTGGTTCGACTGCTCGAGATCATATTATTTTAGTTAAAACTCATAAATAACTACAAATAAGTAATGTTAGGGAAATCTGTTAATGTTTTGTTGCGCGTTTCTGAAATAAAAAAGATTAAAAAAATATCGGCCGATATATCGGATTTTGAAACCAACAAATATTTGAATCGGTATCGGCCTTCAAAATCCTTTATCGGCCGGGCTTTAGCCTCCACTCACTCACACCAGCTCAGAGATCCACTGGTTGACGATCACACGTTGATCTGATTGGTTACAAGGTAGTGTGTGACCTCAGAAAAAGCAGCGATTTCAAACCGTGTTTTTGAGACTGTCTTTGGTTCACGGCAGTTTTGAGGAGAAAACACTCAGCAATGGTGTTGACTCTCTAAATCCATTTTAAAAACACCACATAGACATATATATATATATATATATATATATATATATACTGTATATATATATATATATATATATATACTGTATATTAGGGCTGTGCAAAAGTTAAATGCGATTAATCGCATCCAAAATAAAAGTCTGTGTTTACATAATATATTTGTGTGCGCTGTATATAACATTTTAAAGTTGATTTTTACCACAGGGGGACTTTAATATATAATATAACCAATCCATTTAGTGAGCATAATCATTAATTTGACTGATTCCTGTCCCTATTTTTGTCATTTTGTTGAAGCTTTGCTACGTAGACATGTGCTAATGCTCCTAATGCTTTGAACTTTTTTCTTTTTTTTCCCTTTAAAATCCAAGCAAATTCTTGTTTTCCATGATGCGACTGCAGACAGTTAACGTCAAATAAAATGCAAGAGTTATTCCGATGGGGAAATCAGACATTTCTGTTTTGACCATGTCACCAACCACGTACACACTCATTTACACACCGAGACCCACTGTGACGCTGATTATAGAGCAGCGAAGGCTTACGTGTGCCGTAATTACTTCCAGCAAGCACTTGCTGATTATGTGAGTTAGCCTGTTCATGGAGTGAAAACAGCTGCGAACTGTGAGCTAATATAAGAGTGACACATGATGTAGAAACAAGAACCATTAAACCGCCCCGTGTTTGTGCATCTGATATCCCATATTAAAAACAATTCGGCTGTAATCCAATGTTTGGTAGATCAGTTTTCTGATCGTCAGGTGGAACGTGATTGTCCTCGGCTATTGGGAATGTTAGGATGAGCCACTCGTGGATCTGGATTGATTATTCATGTCTGTTTTTGGTCAGGTTGAGCGTGTTCCTCCATTACGCTACATCCAGGTGCTTAAGACTCAATTTGATCTCTTCATTGTGTTTCTCTGGTGTGGCTTGTACAAGTAATAGTGCTGCTGTTTCCACGAAAGACAACATTGGAGAAACGTGTGGAAAATGTGTGACTTGAATAGTGATCTGAATGTTTAAACTCGATGGCCATTCTTAAAAACACAGGAGGAAATAGTGTGTTATGAAGGTTGCAGAACTTCAGAAATGTCATACAATGACAAATACAAATCTATGGCTTGGGATTTCAGGTAATATTTAAAACAACATTGTTTTTTGCAGTCTTTGTCCACTTTTTTATTCTTATTTTTTTATTGGCATTGCCAAGATTAGATTATTCATCTACTGATATATGTCCTTTCCTATAGCTCAAAAAGCATAGCATGGTGCTCTCAACACAAGGTCATGGGTTTTATTCCCTGGGAATACAAGAACCGATGAAATGTATACGTGTACCTTGAATGCAATGCGAATGAAATTCCCATAGGATATAAGCATCTGCTAAACGCATAAATATAAATATTTCATGTTTTTGATTGATGTTCTTCTACTATGACTTTTTCTTCAATAATACCTTGAAAGAGACCGTGATAAATGATGGCAAAGCTTTAACTCTTTAAAGCACTTTCTCTTTAAGAGTGCATGTTGGAGTCATTTTCTGCATGCTATAGGTAGGAACTTTATTCCTAAATATTTGTATTTATAAAAAAAATTGTATTCTTGAATTAAAAAAATAAATAAAAAAATTGTATTCTTGAATTAATATTTAGAATACCTAGATGGTTTGCTTTGCTTGGTTGCTTTTTTTTTCTTGTTTTGTTTAGTGGTGTTTTTGTTTTGCGTTTTTGTTTTATTTAGTGGTGTTTTTGTTTTTTGTTTTTTTGTTTTGTTTAGTGGTGTTTTTGTTTTGCTTTTTTGTTTTGTTTAGTGGTGTTTGTTTTACAATTTGTTTTGTTTAGTCGTGTTTTTGTTTTGCTTTTTTGTTTTGTTTAGTGGTGTTTGTTTTGCTTTTTTGCTTTTAGTTTCGTTTGTTTTGCTTTTTTGTTTAGTGGTGTATTTGTTTAGCGTTTTTGTTTTGTTTAGTGGTGTATTTGTTTAGCGTTTTTGTTTTGTTTAGTGGTGTTTTTGTTTTGCGTTTTTGTTTTGTTTAGTGGTGTTTTTGTTTCGCTTTTTTGTTTTGTTTAGTGGTGTTAGTTTTGCTTTTTTGTTTTGTTTAGTGGTGTTTTTTTTGTTTAGTGGTGTTGCTTTTCTGTTTTGTTTAGTGGTGCTTTTTTGTTTTAGTGGGTTTTTTGTTTTGCTTTTCTGATTTTTTTATAGTGGTTTTTTTATACTGTTTTGCTTTTTTGTTTAGTTTAGTGGTGTTTGTTTTGTTTTTTGTTTTGTTTAGTGGTGTTTTTGTTTTGCTTTTTTTGCTTTTGTTTAGTGATGTTTTTGTTTTGCTGTTTTGTTTAGTGGTGTTTTTTTGTTTTGTTTAGTGTTGTTTTTTGTTTTGTGCTTTTGTTTTGTTTAGTATTTTTTGTTTTGCTTTTTTGTTTTGTTTAGTGGTGTATTTGTTTTGCTTTTTTGTTTGTTTAGTGGTGTTTTTGTTTTGATTTTTTTTTTTTGTTTAGTGGTGTTTTTTTCTGGTGTTTTGCTTTTCTGATTTTTTTTTTATAGTGGTATTTTTGGTTCGCTTTTTTGTTTAGTTTTTTTATTTTGTTTAGTGGTGTTTTTTGCTTTGCTTTTTGTTTTGTTTAGTGGTGTTTTTGTTTTGCTTTTTAATGGTTTTTATTAAATTAGTTTCTTTTCTTTTTTTTCAAATTAAATGAGTTTGTTTTGTTTTTATTTTTTTGTTTTGTTTATATTTTGTTATTTCATCCATGAATGTTTTTGCCTACAGAATGGTGTAGTTAGAGTGTCTACTAGCAAGAGTTAACTTGACCATGCCAGCCAAAACATTGACCCCTTTAGTCTGTAGTTGTAGTGCCGAGGACTTTTACCTTTTACCTGTGACTGGCGACTCTAGCCTGGAGAGGCGGAGCTAGAAACCTTTGCTCTAAAGAGAGGGAAGAGAACGAAAAACAAATACAAGCACGTTCCCGTTCTTCGTGGAGGACTGTTATTTTCTGTTTCTTTGCCCTTTTACCATGAGCGAAGGAAGTACACCTGCACAGCAGGACGGAGGTCTGTGTTTACTGTGTTTGTCGTTTTGCATTTTCTTTGCATGTTTGCTGTTCTTTGCATCATCCAGCTCTAACAAGCTCTCCGAGTCTTTTCTGAAAGTGAAAGTGTCAGATTGCAAAGGAAGGCATGAAAGAGGCGATCTGTAACAGGCTTTGCTGAGTCACAGTTATTCTCGAAACAAACACTCCAGTGCTAAAACTTCCACGGACTCTGGTGTTTATCGGTGTGTTTCTTTACCCAGCTGAGTAAATTCCAGGAATCATTTGCATTGGCATAGTAAATAAGCTTATCGATGTTTTGCCAAAAACTGAACTCTTTGGAAAGTGACCCGCACACATCTGTAAATATGACAGATTTTCCGACCTGCTTAGAATGAAAAATTTTAATCGAACTTCAAATACAGTCATTTACTCAAAGGAAAGCAAGGAAAAGTCTTGTTTGTCTCTTATGGTCACCATGGCTGCATTAATTTGATCAGACATCAATAAAAACAAAGCTGTGAAATATTATTACAATTTAAAATAAGTTTTTTTTTCTTTCCATTTGGTTATATTTTAAAACGTGGTTGCAAAGCTGAATTGCTTGAACTCTGACTTTATGAATTTGCTCATGATGTTTCCTCCCCAGGTCCTGCTCAGGTTCCCATGATGTCCCCAAACGGTTCAGTGCCTCAAATCTATGTGCCTCCTGGATACGTTCAACAGGTGAGTCATTACAGTGCTACTTATTTAATTATTTGTATAGGTTGAGTTTTTATTTGGGTTTGGTAAAAAGGATACAATTTTCAGTTTAATTTACATCTCTATGGTCCTTTTCCAAACATGTTATTAAGCAAAATGATACTGCCACACAATCATTATTTTCACAAAAAAATCTGAATGATGTATATTTCAACAAAGATGGCAAAACATTTATCTTAGCCTGGATGTCAGCCGAACTTAGCCTCGCCCACAACATTTGAGCATGGGAAGATCGACATTCACATTCTGACTAGAATCTGAGTATGACGACGTCAGGCTACATTTAGCTCAAATACACTGTTCAGGTTGGTCCATCTGCCGTATGGAGCATTGGGATTTATCCATTTGTTTTATGAAACTGAGCTTACTATGTAAAGGCCCTGATATGCTGCTTAAGTTCTTCACTTCTTCCTAAACTGGAAATACATTTGCAGCATCATGCTGTTAACAGCTGTTAGCTGCTGAATATGCAAATACATGCTGTGCGCTTTACTCTCATTTACAATATAAACACAACAAAAATAGCAGATCAGAAAGCATCTGATCATAGCGATGTAGATATGTTTGCACCAGCTCTGAAGTTAAACACTCCTGTTGAGTCACGTTTATTTATTTAGATTGGATTGTGATCAGACCAAGAGCCACAACACACTTGTAGCCAATCAGGAGTAGGGGGCGTGTCCACTCATGACGGGGAGGGGCGATAATGAGCCAATCAGCAGTAGGGGGTGTGTTTACTCATGATGGGGGAGGAGAGATAATCAATCAGCAGTAGGGGGCGTGTCCACTCATTATGGGTAGGAGAGATAATGAGCCAATCAGGAGAGAGGGAGATTTGAAGATAGACTGTAGAAAGAGAAATGGCTGAGAGACATTACAAAAGAGAAAAGGTCAGAGGACTATCACTGGAAAAAGAAGCATTATGATCAAGCAAGAGCTTTAGCACCCGCATTAATATTAGAGAAACTTTCCAGCACTGGAGTGTCATTGTTTTTCTGGAGCTGCTGGTGACTAACAACCAACTCTTGCTCTTGAGTACTGTGATCATTTTTTGTTCTTCCTTGTCATCTCTGCTTTAGCTGAAGCGGAGCAAAAGACTACTTCATGAAAATATGATAGAGACTCCCACTCTTGCATTGCGTGCATTTTAGGGTTGGAGCAACGAAGGAAGGGGGTGTTTTTGTTTTGGTTCATTTCAAATATCAACAGTGTTTCTCAGAAATCACTTACTGCGCCTTTAAATCAAGCAGTTTACACTATTAAATCTAAAAAACTGTCAGTCACGTTCAATTAGAATTACGATTTCTACTATAAAGCGGCTATTTGCGTCTGTCCTCGATGGACTGAACAGAAGAAATGAACCAGAGAAGTTTTTCAGAGCCACACCCAGCTATTACATCATCACCCCAGGCCAATGGTAGTTCAGAGGTGTTTACCAGCTTTTCCCTGGAAAGTTCACTTTGTTTCAAACTCCAGATACAAACTCCAAACTAATTTCATTTAGTTCAAAGTGAATCAGGGTCTTAACTTCTCTTTCTTTCTGTGTAGATCATTGAGGAGAATGGAGTGAGGCGGGTGTTGGTCTTACCTCAGACGGAGTTTCATCCGGGGGGCCATTCCCCGCTTCACCACCCGCCCCCCCCACCGCCCCACGCCCACCTGCAGGCCTTCATTCCGCACCCGCACATCATGCACGCTCCCCCTCACCTGTACTCAGGCATGGCTGGAGGAACTGGGGATATGAACCCCCAGTACATCTCCCAGTATCACCCAGCACACACCACCATCTACCCAGACCAGGGTCAGTACACACACACACACACGCGCTTCACCAAAAAATGCTGCACCACTGCTGACTCTGCTGACAGCGCTTTGAAAAAAACATAACACTATATTTTAGCTGAGTTATGAACTCTGAGAGAGAAAGACTGGAAGCCTTTAAAATAGTCAACTCAACAAAAACAAAATCCTGTTGGAAAAACTTACCAGAGACTCGGGGTGTCACTTGACAAAAATTTCAGTATATGCAATACGCTATTAAACACAACCCTTTTTAATGTTTAAACATTAGTAATTTTATTACATTTAAAAGCAATAATTTGATTTGTCTATTGATAAATATGTTAATAATAATAATACATAATAAAAAAGCTTAAATCATTGTCGTCTTGTTTTTTCCTTTAAATACTGCGTGCGTGCGTTTTTCAAGTAAACAGTCAGCAATAAAGAGAAAAGTAATAAACAGTATTGTTTTATTAATATTAATGGAATTAAAAGTGTTGTTGCTGTTGCTTTAAACTAAAGGGGTTTAACTGTTACAGCTGAAATAAAACATTAGATGCTTAATTCTTAAAGGAAAATTAGAAACTTGCTTTAAGTTTGAACTGAAATAAAAATATATTCAAGTTAAATAAAAAAAATACATAATAATATAAAATTATAATAATTTAATAATTCAAATAAAATAGTATTATACAAAATATATACATTTGAAATTTTGCTTTGGTAACTATCTGAAATAAATATTTTAAGTTTGAACTACAATAAAAATATGTTCAAGTTAAATAAAACGATTAATAGTAATAATATACAATATAATAATTTAATAATTGAAATTAGGGCTGTTAAACGAAAAGTTTGTGTTTACATAATATATGTGGGTGCACTTTGTATAATTTTATATATATATATACACACACACATGCATGTATATTTAAGAAAATTATTTATTTATAAAGATTTATAAATTATATTATTTATAAAGAATATTATTTATATATAAAATAATTATATTTATTATTCTAATTATATATAAATCTATTTACAGTATATACATGAAAATTTTTCTTAAAATATTTACAAGCATGTGTGTGTGTGTGTGTGTATATATATATATATATATATATATATATATAATATAAATTTTACATTTTGCTTGGGTAACTATCTGAAATAATATAAATATAATATTTTAAATTTTATCTGAAATAAAATATATTCAAGTTAAATAAAAAGTTAATAAAATACAATGATTTAATAATTCAAATATAATAGTATTACACAAAATATGTTTAAGTTTCAAAAAATTGAATACAAATTTAAATTTACTAAGAATATAAAAGTATGAATAAATATTATAATAATATATCAAATATACTAAAATAACACTAGGCATAACAAACTATTATTGTTTTTACATATTTTTATTAACTACAGACCGTTATTCCTTAAAGAAACCTTTGAATATTTAGGATAAAACAACAACAACAAGTAATTTCCAAAGAGAGCAGGATTATCAACTGTCATTGATTTTCAATAATTCCGTTATGCATTATTCCTAACATGTCCCTCTGTTTTCCAATTTCCTCAGAAACTCACCCCCAACACGGACGCGCGGCATTTGCTCACAGAGATGAAAGGGCTAGCAAAACCTATGAGCGTCTGCAAAAGAAACTGAAGGAGAGGCAAGGGTTGGGCGGAGGGGGAGGTGGAGGCGTGGCCCCCTCCAAAGACAGTCCCCCTCCATCCCCGCAGAAGAGCCGCGGGACGCCGCCCTCAGGGGGAGATCTGCAGAACGGGCTGGGGGGTAAGGGCGCAGAGGAGCAGGCACAGCCCAGCGCTGCTGTCGCCGGCCTGGGCAAGAGCCCAGGAAGAGGGAAGGAGGCAGAGTCTGGAGGTAGAATACACTGTAGGGTTCCTGGAACCATTGCAACAAAGCAGTAAGGCACGGGATGCTGTGTGTAACACTGTTTTTAACACAGTTAAAGTGCGGCGTTTGACACAATGTGAAGCGGTGTTACCCGTGTTAACTCCATGGAAATGTTACTCGCTGCCTCCTGTAGCTTTACTGCTTTTATAGAACAGTAGAATCAGCAATATGAGGCATCAATGATAACAAAATAGTTACATTTATTTATACTAAACTAATGGGGTCCAAAAACCTGAGACAACTAGTGGGCTTTATTTATTTATTTATTGTTTTGTTTTTGTTGTTTTTTGGTGTGTTCTGTTTTTGTTTTGTTTCTGTTGTTTTTTGTTGTGTTTTGTTTTGTTTCTGTTGTTTTGTTTTTGTTGTTTTTTTGGTCTGTTCGGTTTTTGTTTTGTTGTTTTTGTTTGTATGTTTTTGTATTATTAATATTGTGTATTTTTTTTTTTGATTATTGTTTTTTTTTAGTTGTTGTCTTTTGCTTTGTTTTTTCCCCTCCTTTTTGTTTATATATTTTTTTATATTATTTTTTATTAAAAAAATAGAAAAAATACTTTTTCAATTATATTAATAGTATTAAAAGTATAAAAAGTACTGTACCTGAAAACAATGATGTAATGAAAGTTAAACGATAATCCGTTCATGTGATCACGCTCATGGATTTGTTAACATTTTATTAGTGAACAATTCTAATTAAATTCTACTACTTTCTTTTACTTCACGGTTGTTTAAATCCAAACTTTACGTATTTTCAGGTTTAAATGAGATGAATCCCAGTTTTTCGGTATTGTCTCAGACTTTTGAACCCGGCTGCAGTTCATTAGGCTAATAGTGAGAGATCATTTATACTGTACATATACAGTGCATTAATAAGTTTGCAGCTGTTTTGTATGGGCTTTGTCTTATCCAATCAGATTTCAGCACCATAATCGTTTTAGGAATTAGACTTTAATTCAAATCTACATTTAATTCAAGATAAACTTACTTAAAATGACCAGGGAATTACATGTTTACTGTTTGGCTCGCCCTCTATTAATAACCAACTGGAGTTACTCATGCATGCGGTCACTGAGGGAGGTTTATTAGGAAGTGGTTATTAGCATTAACAGACATTAATGTCCCATTGAGTCATCTTTTTCCTTGGACTATCATATCTCAGGGTCCAGGCTGAAGTCCGTCCAGGGGCCCATCAGGGGGTGTAACGGGGCCCTGCTCTCATTATCTCCCTCAGCTTTAGGCTGCTGCAGATAACATTAGCTGTAATTACTCCTGCACTGACTCAGTCATTTATCAGTGCTAACTAACTCCAGCCTGAAGCAACTGTCTCTGCCGCAGCTACTGTACGCCGACTAAACTTAGCTGGTGTATCTATTAATCCATTCATGGAAAATAAGTAAAAGCCATTTTAGTGTGAAGCCCTGTTCTCTTTTATAACGGATTTGTTGTCTTATTTTGCAGAACTGGACGAAGCAGCAAAGGCTCTTCAGGAATGCTTAAACTCCATCTGCAAACCAGTGGTAAGGAGATGATTTTATTTGTGTGTTATGTATTTTCAAAATATTCTGTATTTTAATTTTTTTAATACTAACTAACACACACATGAATATTACGTTACGTTAATTCAGGGCCCCAGCAGACTAATATTTGTTCTACTGATGGTGGCGCCAGCCCCTGATTTGGTAGCGCTTCAATAGTTTCTTACTGAACTGACCGACAGCTTCAGTTATTATGAAATTAACAGTCTTTACTTGCTTTCTATGTAATTCAGTCACAATTTGGACAAGGTTTTGTTTTTCATTAGATTGTAATTTTTCCTACTTTTTTTCCTTCATCTCTGCAAAAATAGATTTTTTGATGATTTGATATTTTTTTTAAATGACTTTGATATTTTATGAATTTTATAACTTCTCAACATAAAACATTTGTCTATTTCTGCCACAATACCATGGTTACCGTTAGCATTGCTATATAAAATCCATGGTGAATTTTGGTGATTTGTTGACTAAAAAAGCCTTTTATAACTTGGTTCATTGCACAATGTTTCTCCAGGTTTCCGCGTCAAAACCTGAGCTTGCATTGCGTTGCCGATTATTATAATTTTTTGCTGTTCCTAAGGCAGCTCTTTTCAGAAATAATAATAAAAAGGCATTGTTGAGCAGTTCAACCACAGAGGATGGGCAGATTCAAACAGACCAAATGTTTCCTTTAAAGCTCAATGTTTCATTTTTCTTTTTTTTTAGAATCTAGCCATGCTTTTAGATAATATATAAATTAAATGCAAATGCGAAATCTTATTTTTCATCCATATTTATTCAAAATGTGATGTGTAACATTAGAATGAACCTCATTGGTTCTTGTGAAGCTCAAACGTGATGCGTAACATGAGAATGAACCTCATTGGTTCTTTTGAAGCTCAAACGTGATGCGTAACACGAGAACTAACCTCATTGGTTCTTGTGAAGCTTAAACGTGATGCGTAACATGAGAATGAACCTCATTGGTTCTTGTGAAGCTCAAACGTGACGTTTAACACGAGAATGAACCTCATTGGTTCTTGTGAAGCTCAAATGTGATGCGTAACATGAGAACGAACCTCATTGGTTCTTGTGAAGATCAAACGTGATGTGTAACACAAGAATGAACCTCATTGGTTCTTGTGAAGATCAAACGTGATTCATAACACAAGAACGAACCTCATTGGTTCTTATGAAGCTCAAACGTGATGCGTAACATAAGAACGAACCTCATTGGTTCTTTTGAAGCTCAAACGTGATGCGTAACACGAGAACTAACCTCATTGGTTCTTGTGAAGCTTAAACGTGATGCGTAACATGAGAATGAACCTCATTGGTTCTTGTGAAGCTCAAACGTGATGTGTAACACGAGAATGAACCTCATTGGTTCTTGTGAAGCTCAAATGTGATGCGTAACATGAGAACGAACCTCATTGGTTCTTGTGAAGCTCAAACGTGATGTGTAACACAAGAATGAACCTCATTGTTTCTTGTGAAGATCAAACGTGATTCATAACACAAGAACGAACCTCATTGGTTCTTATGAAGCTCAAACGTGATGCGTAACATAAGAACGAACCTCATTGGTTCTTTTGAAGCTCAAACGTGATGCGTAACACGAGAACTAACCTCATTGGTTCTTGTGAAGCTTAAACGTGATGCGTAACATGAGAATGAACCTCATTGGTTCTTGTGAAGCTCAAACGTGATGTTTAACACGAGAATGAACCTCATTGGTTCTTGTGAAGCTCAAATGTGATGCGTAACATGAGAACGAACCTCATTGGTTCTTGTGAAGATCAAACGTGATGTGTAACACAAGAATGAACCTCATTGGTTCTTGTGAAGATCAAACGTGATGCATAACACAAGAACGAACCTCATTGGTTCTTTTGAAGCTCAAACGTGATGCGTAACATAAGAACGAACCTCATTGGTTCTTGTGAAGCTAAAACGTGATGCGTAACACGAGAACGAACCTCATTGGTTCTCGCTTGTGTAGCGAATAAACTTGATCTTCCATTTACCAAATTGTCAATTTGGTAAGTGATTTATATATGAATCAAAGCCTAAATTAAATCTATTCATTATATAAAGCGATCAAGACTTGGATTGAACCGTTCAATTAATTTGAACTCTTTATGAACATTTTGAAGAGTTTCGGGTGAAAAGATTTCCAACAGAGGGGCAGTAATCACTCGGGTTTGGTTAAATATCTTCATTTATGCTTCAAAGATGGAATGAGGGTGAGATAATGATGACCGACTCTTCGTTTTTGGGGGAACCATCGCATTATTTAGCCAGCCTGGCCAATACATCAGTCCATCACTGATGTAAATGCACAGATATGGCACACACTTCCAAAAGTGTGAAATTGGAAGGCCTTTATGCTACATTTGACACTCTCCTCTCTGAGTAACCAGCTTTTGAAGGACTGTACGACTGCTTGCTGCGTCAACAGATTTCTTAATGACAGTCATTTCCACAGTCTCAAAAACTCTACATCCATGCATGATTACAGTCCCCACAAGAAGACAGTAATGGCTCTCCGTAATGGGTCATTAATGCTGGATTTGATTTGATTCATCGAGGAAGCTAAATGGCTGTCTTGTCTCTGGTGGTGTGCTGGGCTCTGGTTTATTGGTGTTTTCATGAAACAGTGAGTTCAGTTTTGCCGACACTGCTATAATCACTATAATAATGATCCGGTGCCTTTTTCATTAGACATTTAAACTTGTTTTTTTTTCTCTTGAGATATGAATAAACAATAGGGGCGCTACGAATATGTTTTAAAAAGGCCATTTAAGCATGCTGTTCAAGCTAATTTTTGTACAGTACGTCCTCAAACTAGTGTCTAGAAACTAGAAATAGCTTTAGTTTCATTGTTTGTGTAAATTTTTTTGTTTTTAAAGCTGCAGCATCCTAAACCTTCACCATTGTCCAGAACTGTTTTCTTAATTTGAAATTGGAATAAAACAATTTTAAACTCATAAATAAATGTTTTATTTTAGTAGCTATGTTTTTTTAAATATGAAATTCAATGACGCATTTTAAAGGTTTTGAACCCCTTCAATGCATATAAATGTTTCAGACAATATGGCCGACACCGGAATATTAGTTGAGCCGTGTTTCCACCGCAATTACCAGGAACTATTTGTCCCAGGAACTTTTTTCGCCCCAGACCACTTGCTTACTGCGTTTACACCTCGGACTAAAGTACTGGTGGATTACTTTAGTACTGGAAGTACTGGAAGATTATGTAGTGACGTTGAACTGCATGCGACTGCTCCTCCCAGTCTGCGTGTTTGTTTTGAGTTTTGTATGGAGGAGATTCAAGCTGTGCTGCTTTTGTGTGCGATTGGTTTACTAATGAGGTAATTAATAAAACGGCGGAATACCACCCCAAAGTTCCTAGTTTCTGGGGAAAGTTCCTGCGGTGTAAACACACCGAGTACCACCCCAAAGTTCCTAGTTCCTGGGGAAAGTTCCTGCGGTGTAAACACACAGAGTACCACCCCAAATTTCCTAGTTCCTGGGGAAAGTTCCTGCGGTGTAAACACACCGAGTACCACACCAAATTTCCTAGTTCCTGGGGAAAGTTCCTGCGGTGTAAACACACAGAGTACCACCCCAAAGTTCCTAGTTCCTGGGGAAAGTTCTTGCGGTGGGAACACACAGAGTACCACCCCAAATTTCCTAGTTCCTGGGGAAAGTTCCTGCGGTGGAAACACACAGAGTACCACCCCAAAGTTCCTAGTTCCTGGGGAAAGTTCCTGCGGTGTAAACACACCGAGTACCACCCCAAAGTTCCTAGTTCCTGGGGAAAGTTCCTGCGGTGGAAACACACCGAGTACCACCCCAAAGTTCCTAGTTCCTGGGGAAAGTTCTTGCGGTGGGAACACACAGAGTACCACCCCAAATTTCCTAGTTCCTGGGGAAAGTTCCTGCGGTGGAAACACACAGAGTACCACCCCAAAGTTCCTAGTTCCTGGGGAAAGTTCCTGCGGTGTAAACACACCGAGTACCACCCCAAAGTTCCTAGTTCCTGGGGAAAGTTCCTGCGGTGGAAACACACCGAGTACCACCCCAAAGTTCCTAGTTCCTGGGGAAAGTTCCTGCGGTGGAAACACACCGAGTACCACCCCAAAGTTCCTAGTTCCTGGGGAAACATCCTGCGTTGGAAACACTATAGCCGCTTTGCGACCGGAGGGGCTTCTGCAGTTCCTAGAACCTAACGTTCCTATAATCCTTTTTTTCTCGTGTTCCGACCGGACTAAATTGGGGATTTTTTTACTTCTTTAGACCGTAGTTCCTATAACTCGTTCAGTACCTAGTCTAGTGCGAGGACTATTTTTAGTTCCCTTTCCCTAGGTCTACGTTGATTGGTTCAACTTATGTCATGCCCACTGCTGTCAACACGGAACTTGTAGCGCGCTAGCCATACGCTGTGTGTTTTTGCAAATCATTACAATGAGGATTAAGACAAACATAACGCATTCAACCAGCTAATTGCTAATGCTAGCTAAACTTACCCATCGTTTTGTTTGCCTCCTGCACTCTGCTCTTTTATCTTCTTCCATCCTATTACTTAATATCATATTACGCTGAAGCCTTCGTCTGTGTTTCTCTGTACAGAACTCAAGCATAATTTTTAAACGCCGCCGTTTGTTCTCCGTTATTAAGGTCCCGGCAAGGCAGAACAGGAACATTGCAATAGCCTCCTCCATGCTAGTATGTGGCCGCAAGACCGCCACCGTGCTTGCATTACCCCTCCTACCAGTTCCTATGGCCACTTGGCCAGTGCGAACGCAAGCAGCAAAACCGAGTTTGGGGGAGAATAGTTCTTAGAACTATTTAGAAGTGGACAATTCCTATAACTAAGTTCCTGTAACTATTTGGTTGGAAAGCGGCTCAGGAGTACCACCCCAAAGTTCCTAGTTCCTGGGGAAAGTTCCTGCGGTGGAAACGCGGCTTTGGATGGGAATTGTTTCTTTCTAATAGCGCAGAGCTTTGCCAGTCTGACTTCCATCCTTTATTCAACTCTGTTGAGTTCCTTTAGGTATAAATTTGGCAAAAAAATATGAATCATTCAGCCAATAAATTTTGTAAGGCTTGATTTGAAGATTGTGAGACAAATTTGGTGAGGATGGAATACAATTTGTTGTTGGAAAAGTGGTGAGATCTTTTGTCTCTTCTCAACTCTTAACTATGTAAATTTTGCATAATTACCAATTTTCTCTAAATGTATGATGCAAAAAAATTAAGCAAAATTGATGTTGATGTTAATTCTCAAAAAAGTATGCTGACCACACAGCCAAAGTCCTTTTAGGCAAGTCGTGCCACTCGGCCGCCATCTTGGCAGCTATTTCGGACTAACAAGACCAGGCTCCTATCTAAATGAATGGGCAGAGAGTCAGAACTGCAGTTTCACTGGTCACCGGGACATACATTTGCATGTAAAGAAACAGCAGTACATTATGATAAAAATCGCTGAAAAAGTTTGATGACTGCTCCAAATAAGGTTTAAAACACCCTTTTCCCCACAGGTTATACGTTTACTACGCATGGCAAGGGTTCTCGTCAGGGGAACCAGACGATAGACTTACATGTTTCCCTGCTTGACTGTTAAAAGCAGACGATTGGCTTTCCAGCAAGAGGGGCGGGGCATATGCATACAACTGCCATCTTTGGCGTTACGGTTTTTCCCTATATAGTTGTATTTAGGACTGAGGAAGTGGCATGTCTCTATATAAATTGTCTCTGACACAGCTCATAAAACAGTGTCATTTATTGACTTGTTTTGCCTGCTCGGAATGAGAAGTCCAACAGCTTCATGTGGATCAGTCGCGTCAGTAATGGATGGATTATTTCCACAGCTCGAGCTGTGGGGAAAGTGTAGAGGAGAGAACCGTGCCCCGCGAGGCACAGATAAATAGGCTGTTTTGAAGTCAGTTTTGACTCAGTACTGCACGCTAACTTCAACTATTCTCGTCTGAAAACCCGAAAGGTACATAGTCATGCATCCATAACTAAAGGAGACACTTGTTTCTCAACTGGAATAAAGCTAAAAATATTCCCTCTTGCATAACAGGAGTTCTCTTTTGTTCCCAAAGGGAAGCACCACATGTCATTAAAATAAACTAAAGTGACTCTTTCCAGGCGAAACAAGCAGACGCATGTATTTCCTATTTAAACAAGTGCGTGTGGTTAAATATATAGTCAGTTTGCCCCGGGGAGCAATTAACCTCTCAAATCAGGCGAACACAACAAAGTTGGTTCCGCTAAATCAGACACGTTTGTTTTGTCGGTTTGATCGACTTCAATCACGCATCTTGTTGCATCAGTTTTCACTCATTTACATGTCTCGGATTTTCGGTTCGTCGGTCTAGAGGACGTGACCTGAAGTTTGCCTAATTCTGCAGTTGGGGTTGCAGGACTACGGATTCTTTCTTATTGGTTAATGGTCAAAACAATACCCGAGTTACTCAAGTACTCGTGATTTGTCACAGTTTAAAAAAAGCCATAATATTGTGTGTCAAGTGTTTATTAATTGACAGCCCAATGTTTTTATGGGAGTCATTTATTTAACATAGGCAAAATAAGACATTGTACTAGGACAGTCTATGCAAGCCTTGAATTATATAGGGCTTTCTTGAAACCATTAGTTGGTCAGGCAACCTTCTGACAAGTTAGATATGACAATATGTAGTTTCGCTTATCCTTAGATTTACTCAACGAGACAAGACTTGGGCCAGAAACTCATTCTAGACAAGTTTGCAGACACAATTGCAGAGAATTCTACTGATATTTCCTTTTGCTTTGTCAGCTGACTCGCATCTTTTATTGAGTTCTGTTGATTTTGTTTGTTTGGGCGTAATGGTGGCGAATCCAAAAATCCAGCTAATAGATTTTGTGAGGCTTGGTCTGAAGACTATAACACAATGTAACAAGTTTTGTCATAGTAAAAGTAGGAAAAGAGATATTGGAAATGAGGGCCATCAATTTTAACGGTTTAGCATATTTACCGAGACTTGGGCCAGAAACCCTATTAATGCAAGTTCACAGGAAATGCAACCAAAATTATCTTGGGTTTGAAAGCTACTACTCTACGTTTGTTGTTTGTTACATTTTTTCTTCCAATCAACTGATAATTCAAAGATCTGTGCCGCATCTAATAGAACATTTTCTGATTGTAAAGGCGCTATCAGTTTGTGCATGTGAAAACGGTTTTCGTCTCGTGTGGTCGTCAGGTGACGGACATCCAGGCCAGGGGGGCCAGTTTGAGTTGGGTGGCCCCGTCGCGGACAGAAGGGGATGAGCAGCCCAAAGAGGGAGAAGAAGTGCCCGCGGAGCCCAGCCTCACGTACGAGGTCTCGGTTTCGTACAACGGCAAGGACGGGAAGTACAAGGCCGCCCACAGGTGAGGGCAGGAAGTGGAGGCGCTGCGGGTGCAGTTGAGGAACTCGCGGGTGTTTTCTGTGGTTAGCTGAAGGTCATGAGCAGTTCACCTCAGAGACATCTGCAGCAGCCCTGGAGAGCAGCATGTGTTCACTGTGTGCGGTCAGCAACATCACTAATGTTCTCTTTTCTTTCCTTTCTCTCTCACCTGTGTCAGTGGTGTGGAACTAAGTGCAACCTTACAAGACTTAAGACCAGCAACGGACTACCACGTCAGGTGTGTGTCGGGTTTCCACTTTGAAATGCACACACACACACACACCACATTATCAGGAACACATTCTTGCTTTTACAGTGATGCTCCGTCAAATCGACAGTTTTGCTTTTTAATCACCCTCATCTTGGTGAAAACCCATGTGACCCAAACAAAGATCTTTTACATATTGTTCAAGTTGCTCTATTCCATACAATGAAAGTGAATGGAGATAAGCTATATTATATGAATAATTCTTTATAAATCATGTATAGTTGCATTATTATTATTATTAATATATGAATTATAAGAGAATAACTTTTCATAAAATTCTTAATATTGTTGTATTTATTAAATTAATATATAGTTATAACCATTGTCATGTTCATTATAAGAATATAGAATATATATATTTATTTATACATGTAGTTAAATATATCTAAAAATCTAGTTTCATATTTAAAGTTAATATATAGTTTTATTCTTAATAATAGTGTAGTTTTATTATCTATATTATTATAACAATTCTTTATAATTTAGTTTTAAAATAATAAAATAAATATCTTTAAAATAATATATAGGTTTATTATTATTAACACTAACAATTCATTGATTGCAAATTAATTTGTTTTCATTAATACAACTCTTTATTAATTATAGTTATATTTGTTAATATGTTCTTTAAATAATATAATAATAATAATAATACTAAAAATATAGTTTTTATAAGAATGTAGCTTCTTTATTAAAACATTTTCTTCATATGTGTAGTTAAATATAACTAAACCAAAAATATATCATTTTAAAATCTTTATATAAATAATTATAGAAATAATTAATTACAATGTTGTTAAAATAAATGTATATTATTTATAGTTGCATTATTATTATTAATAACAGTAATAAAGTTAATAGTTATAAGTATTTATATTTATAAATACAATTATTTATTACTACAGTTATATTTGCTAAAATGAATATGTAGTTATATTAATATTAATACTAATACTACTAATAATATAGCTGTATAATAATAAAATAATAATAATATAGGTATGTTAGTTATAAGAGTGTATGTGTGTGTGTGTATATATATTAATTCTAAAACTATTCTGTTGTTTAATATTGTTATTTGCATAGTGTCCCTGTATACTGATATAAGTGTGTGTGTGTTTAGGGTCCAGGCCACGTGTAACTGTTTACAAGGCGTCCCTTCCGAGCCCGTGAGCTTCACCACGCTGAGCTGCGAGCCCGACACACCCAGCGCTCCACGCAAAGCCAGCGGCACCAAGAGCAGCCTCGTCCTGCAGTGGAAGGTGCGTGCACACACACACACACACACACTCGCTTACTAAACACTGACATTAAGTGCAGAACACTCACAACAATACCTCTTCCTAGGCGCCGTGTGACAATGGCTCCAAAATCCAGAACTATATTCTTCAGTGGGATGAGGCAAGTTATCCCCGCTTTATTTCCATGACAATTAAACATGATGCAGTTTAATCTCATTACTATAATGTGAACAAATAGTATTTATACATTACCGTTTGTTGTACTAAATTTAAACACATTTTTTAATAGACTCATTACGGCATGGAGAACTAGGGGGGAAATGTGTAAATTATCAAAATAAGTAGTGACTATGACACTTTTTTTTTTTAATAATGTTCCGAAAAATTGACTTTGTATGCAAAATGTAGTTCCTGTAAGACATGTTCCTGGATCTACATCCAGGGAACAACATATATGATGTGTGAGTAACACTGATGTAGAAGCACATCACCCCCAATTGTAAGCCTAAACTTGACATAAACTGTAAACAAATCTGATTGGTTGGGTTATCACACTGCTGTTGAATAAAGAGCTAACTAACGCTGTGCTGTGTGAACAGGGGAAGGGGACGTCTGTGTTTGAGCAGTGCTACTACGGCCCTCAGAAGCAGTACAGACTCAGCAAACTCTCCACAGCTTCCAGATATTCCTTTCGGCTGGCAGCCAAAAACGACATGGGCGTCAGGTGTGTATCAGTCGGGATGCTCCCGAGGGAGGAGAGCGTAAACATCGTGTCATACAGTGATGAAGTGCTAAATGAACCTTGCGAATGGCAGATTAAATAGAAGGAATCATTATTGTTACACATTATTCTGTGACACTTTATTTTCCAGTGTCATTGTCACACACGTTACATGTACTTACCATAGTAATAACAGTAAATTAATCCTAATCGTACCCTAACCCTATAGTAAGTATGTAGTTGCTTAATATTACTCGATACTTAAATATATAATTACATTGTAGCAATGACACCTTATTTAGTACTTAATTTAGTACTGAGTAATATTGACTACATGTACTTGCTATAGGGTTATGGTAATTTGCATGTAGTTATGCATCATTTAACGTTATTTACGCAACGTGTAACTGTAAAATAAAGTGTTAGCGTTATTTCTGTCTTGGTTTACCTGTGTTTTCCTCTTTGGGAAGTGAGTTCAGTGAAGTGGTCCACATCATGACGTCGTGCAGCGTTCCGGCCCCGCCCTTAAGCCCGGAGTTGGTTCAGCCCGGGGTCACATGGCTCTGTGTGCGCTGGCAACGGCCGGCCGGATCGCCCAAAGAGGACGACATCGGCTACGTGTTGGAGATGGAAGAGGAGGGCTCAGTGAGTGAGAGATTCACACACACTTTCACAGACCTCACACACGCACACACACCAAGTCAGCATGAAACGGAAGTTGCAATAGGAAGCCCTGCTCTCAGATGGTATGATCCTCCATGTTGGCATTGGCAATGTGGCAGATATTATTTTTGTCATAACACTTTACAAAAAGGTTCATTAGTGAACTTCATTAATTAGCATGAACTAATAATGAACTGCATTTATACAGCATTTAGTAATCTCATTAGAATCTAGTTAACATTAGTCACTAGAATCTAGTTATTAGAATCTTGTTAATATTAATTATTAGAATCTAGTTAACATTAGTCATTAGAATCTAGTTAACATTAGTCATTAGAATCTAGTTAATGTTAGTCATTAGAATCTAGTTAACATTAGTCATTAGAATCTAGTGAACATTTAGTCATTAGAATCTAGTTAACATTAGTCACTAGAGTCTATTTAAAATTAGTCATTTGAATCTAGTTAACATTAGTTATTAGAATCTAGTTAACATTAGTTATTAGAATCTAGTTAACATTAGTTATTAGAATCTAGTTAACATTAGTTATTAGAGTCTAGTTAACATTAGTTATTAGAATCTAGTTAACATTAGTTATTAGAATCTAGTTAACATTAGTTATTAGAATCTAGTTAACATTAGTTATTAGAATCTAGTTAACATTAGTTATTAGAATCTAGTTAACATCAGTTATTAGAATCTTGTTAATATTAATTATTAGAATCTTGTGAACATTAGTCATTATAATCTAGTTAACATTAGTTATTAGAATCTAGTTAACATTAGTTATTAGAATCTAGTTAACATTAGTTATTAGAATCTAGTTAACATTAGTTATTAGAATCTAGTTAACATTAGTTATTAGAATCTAGTTAACATTAGTTATTAGAGTCTATTTAAAATTAGTCATTTGAATCTAGTTAACATTAGTCATTAGAGTCTATTTAACATTAGTTATTAGAATCTAGTTAACATTAGTTATTAGAATCTAGTTAACATTAGTTATTAGAATCTAGTTAACATTAGTTATTAGAATCTAGTTAACATTAGTTATTAGAATCTAGTTAACATTAGTTATTAGAATCTAGTTAACATTAGTTATTAGAGTCTAGTTAACATTAGTTATTAGAATCTAGTTAACATTAGTTATTAGAATCTAGTTAACATTAGTTATTAGAATCTAGTTAACATTAGTTATTAGAATCTAGTTAACATTAGTTATTAGAATCTAGTTAACATCAGTTATTAGAATCTTGTTAATATTAATTATTAGAATCTTGTGAACATTAGTCATTATAATCTAGTTAACATTAGTTATTAGAATCTAGTTAACATTAGTTATTAGAATCTAGTTAACATTAGTTATTAGAATCTAGTTAACATTAGTTATTAGAATCTAGTTAACATCAGTTATTAGAATCTTGTTAATATTAATTATTAGAATCTTGTGAACATTAGTCATTATAATCTAGTTAACATTAGTTATTAGAATCTAGTTAACATTAGTTATTAGAATCTAGTTAACATTAGTTATTAGAATCTAGTTAACATTAGTTATTAGAATCTAGTTAACATTAGTTATTAGAATCTAGTTAACATCAGTTATTAGAATCTTGTTAATATTAATTATTAGAATCTTGTGAACATTAGTCATTATAATCTAGTCAACATTAGTCATTAGAATCTAGTTAACATAGAGTTTAGTTAACATTAGTCATTAGAGTCAACATTAGTCATTAGAATCTAGTTAACATTAGTTATTAGAATCTAGTTAACATTAGTCATTTGAATCTAGTTAACATTAGTTATTAGAATCTAGTTAAATTTAGTTAATGCACTGTGAGCTAGCATGAACAAACAGTGAATGACTGTATTTTCACTAACCAAAGTTAACGAAGATTAATAAATACTGTAATAAATGTGTAACTCGTGGTTAGTTCATGTTAGTTAATACGTTGTTAACTACTGAACCTTAATAGCCGAATTTCCACTGCCGGGCTAGGGCTGGGGGTTACTCGCTGAATGTTTAGCTTAGAAATTTCAGCATCTATGTATTTTGTAACATCCTCATTTCTTCACATGCTGTGACGTCGTACAAATCCTCGACAGACCAGTACAGACGATTCTCCATTTCAAGCAGCAATTTTTTTTTTTTTCCGCGATATTGCTTCAGATCATAATGTTCCATAACACAGAAAAACTCCGCCTTTTACCTTGAGCACTCCTCTAGCACGAGCTGGCCCGCTCTGGCCCAAGGTATTCGACTGGCCAGAAATCCTGAGTAAGCCCCGGAAGTGACAGTGGAAACGCGACTAGCCCTGGCACGCACTAGCACGGCTCGGCTACGTAACGTTTACGTAACGTAAACGCGGCTATTGTAACGTTTTACCTTTTTGTCTACATGTCTGAGAAAAGATAAGCATATTAAAATTATAATTATTGTTTAATTTCTTTTTGACTACAAAAAATAATACATAATTGTTTTAGTAATTGAATTAAAAAGCAATTAAGTTCATTGTATTTAATTACGTTTCAAATATTTATTATGACTAAAACTGATACAGTAAGTTGTTTTGAGGAAAAAAATGGCACCAAACGTGTATTCATGTTTATTAACTCTGGAATGACTTGGCTTCATACTTTTTGAAGTAAAAGGCCTTTATTTGACTATATTGATGTGATGTGTGACGAACAGCGATCTAGTGAAGGGTGTGAGGACTGTCCCTACACACTCCAGGGTTTTCATGCGTCACTGTGGGTCACTGTGTGTGATTGTGTTGTCATGAATGTGTTGAACAGGGTTACGGGTTCCAGGCCAGTTACGATGGAGACGAGCTGTCACACACCGTCAGAAACCTCCACAGGAGCACCACGTACCGCTTCAGGGTAAGAAACACACACACACACACACTGGCGGCTTGCCTTCATGACTATACTGGGTGTGTGAATCCTTCATTGTCCGCTTATTTTGTTTTATTTTGTTTTTATGTGTTAGCTTTTTGTTACTTTTGTTTGTCTTTCTTTTTTGTTTGTTTGCTTTTTAGTTCTTTTTATTAGTGTTTTTTGCTTGTTTTTTTCATTCTTTTTTGTTTGTTTTTTCTGTTTTTGTCTGTTAGTTCTTTAGTTTGTGATCTGAATCTCTTTTTTTGTACATTTTTTTATCATTCATTCTTTTCTTGCTGTCTTTCATTTATGATCTCTTTGTCTTTTCTTGTTGTTTTATTTTTGATTCGCTTTTTTCTTCATTTTAAGTATTTTTTTTCTTTTCCGTTTGTTCGTTCTTTGTCAGTCTTTTACTGCTCTACCCTTTGTTTTCTTTCTTTCGTTATCGGTTTATTTTCTTCTATTTTTGTTGTCTTCCTTGCTTTTCCTTTCGCTGTTTGCTCACTTCATTTTTATTTGTTCTTGATTTATTTTTTTTTAATCTTTGTTTGTGACCCCTTAAGTCTTTCTTTCTTTCTTTCTTTCTTTCTTTCTTTCTTTCTTTCTTTCTTTCTTTCTTTCTTTCTTTCTTTCTTTCTGTCTTTCTTGTGTTGTTTTTTGTCTGTTAGTTCTTTTATTTCAATTTCTTTTCGTTTTTTCGTTTGTCTGTACAGTCTTTGTCCTTCATTCTTTCCTTGCTGTCTCTCATTTATTTTCTTTCTCTTTCAGTCTTCTTCCAAGTTCTTTCTGATTAGTTTTTTTCTTTATTTGTACATGAAGTATTTTCTTTCAGTATCAGTTTCTTTTGTTTCGTTCTTTGTCGTCTTGCTTGCTCTATCCTCCTTTTGTTTTGACCTCATTTCATATTTTATTTGTTTTAGTTCTTGCTGTTTTTCTTTTGTTCATTCCATCTTCAGTGTGTTTGTCCTTTCCTCTGTCGTTTGGTGGTTTGTTCTTGTTTGGTTTCCAGTGGCCGTGAGATGAAGCAGATGGTGTGCTGATGCGATCGGTCACTCTTCTCTGATGTCGTTAGGGATGCGCTGATCATAATCTCGTTTCCAAAAACAAAAGTGTATTATTAATGCGATCAGAACGGCTGCATGTGTCCTGATGAGAGGAGCTGATTACCTGCCGAGAGCTCACATCCACAATTACTGACAATTACTGTGACAGATGACATCACAACACCACCGTTTATTTCCCCACCGCGAAACGCTTCCTCATCCTGCACTTTTGTCAGGGGGGGGGGACTCTTTCTGAGTGAGATAAACTCGGTGGATAATGTAAAGGCTTTTAAAAGGCCCTAGAGATCTGCGTTTCCTCCGCACATAGTGTTTGTGTGAGTCATAATGAAGCCTATTTTTAGGAGCAGTGAGTGACCCCACACAAACACTCTGCCTAATTTTTCCTTTTTCCTCATTGCAGGTGGTGGCCTATAACGCGGAAGGGAAGAGTAACCCCAGCGCTGTGTCAGAGTTCACCACGGCCCCTGATAGGCCGAGCTGCCCCTGCAGACTCGCTGTGAAGGGCAAACCTCACCCGACCAGTTTCCGCCTGACCTGGGGTCAGTTCAGCATGTCACGATCGCACAAACATTGATCCTTGACAGGAAAACAAAACAATCTTAACATCATCTTTAATTTAGTCCTCGCACAATGCGAGTAAATCATGCTAAGCTAGGCGAAATTTTCATGCTAGGCGACAAAAAAATGGTGAAATTAAAATGTTAAAACGGACCGAAATCCAGAATGTACCTCAGTATCAAGAACTAGTCGAGGTTGCTAATGCCAAAGACTGTAGATATGGGGAAGATGGGGAAAAGTGCAACTGTCAATATGGCGGAGTAAGCCCCGCCTTCTAAATAAGAGCCAATCGCCGATTGGTAAAGTCATCGCATCACTGCAGCTGTTGTCAGAAGCTCCGGTTCCCATAGAAACAGTCAGATACGCTTCCACTGTGTATTAGCTCGATCCAGCCTGTAAAATGTTGTTTTCTGTCATGAGCGTTTAGAAACTAAATGTAATTAGACGGTCAGATGACTCCTGAAATTTAATCTAAACCGTTTTGGAGAATTTGGTGTTTCCCCATTCAAAAAGATGAGGGCTGCACTTGCATGCCCGAGAGGCGTTTCAAAGATGGCCGCCGGCTGAAATGACTTGTTTTAAAGGGACTTTGCTGATACTAAGGATGTTTTTTTTATGGTTTCTCCTCAGAGCCTCCCAAAGACAATGGCGGCTCAGATGTGACGAAGTATGTGGTGGAGCTGTCTGAAGGGTTATGTGGTACGTTCCTCTGAGGTTTTCTGCTGTGCTTCCTGGCATCATTGCGGTTATTTCATTGATTTTTGTGTGTGTGTGTGTGTTTTCAGGGTCTTCTTGGAATCAGGTGTACAGCGGTTCGGCTATGGAGTGTGTTTGTGACGGTCTGAGCCCAGGATGTTCATACCAGGCTAGAGTCCACTGCATCAGTGCGGGAGGCGAGAGCCCGGTACGTCACACAAATCGTCCTAAATCGTTTTGAATAGTGATGACTCATCGCTCATATCGCCTATACAAAATATTGGCTAATGAAATGCTCTCTAGAATGAGAGTGTCCCACCGCTCCAACACTGAGCTTTATAGTGCTAGCAGTGTTATAGGGCCGTCAACGGTTCATCACATCCAAAATAAGAGTTTGTGTTTACATAATGTGCACGGTGTAGTATTATTTTGTATATATAAGTACACGTACATGCATGTATATATTTAAAATTTGTCATACATCTCAAATATATACATGCATGTGTGTGTATTTATATATACAAAATAATTATTCACAGTACACACGTATATTACGTAAACAAACTTTTATTTTGCGTCATGTCTGTTAGAAAGTCCCTTGTTTTCTTTAGTGTAATTTTAATAAAGCACTTATTGTGGATATATTCATATATTAAAGTTTAAATTTATACTAAATGCAACTATCTGATAGGATTTTAGTATCTTTATATATATATATAACTCGTATGTTATGTATTTAACGTTATGTATTTATTTATTTATGTATTTGTACACATTGATGTTGCACTACACATCAAAATAAGTGTAATTCTTTAAAGCATTACAAAATATTGAGGGTAAAACTTCATTACATTTTATCTGCAAGTACAGTGGTTAAAAAAGTGCATGCTGTTAATATTTGAAGTAGTCTCGATCATAGACAAATAACCACGCATTAAGAATTCATGTTTGAAAAGAGTTTCGGGATGTGTTCCAACTAACAATGCTAACTATCTCAAGTCACTATTCACACGCACACACACACACACATATATATATATATATATATATTAGTGCTTTAAAAAGATTCAAATATTTAATCGCGATTAATCACATTGATGTTATAGTTAACTCGCGATTAATCACAATTAATCGCATATTTTTATCTATTCTAAATGTCACTTGATTTCTTTTTCTCACATTTTCTCATTTTAATGCTCTTATCAGCATGGAAAAGTGGATTGGCTTGTTTTGTGCAAATGTTTTTTTATTGAAAACAACATTAGCATATAGTGTTTAATTTCACACTTACATTCTCACTTGAAGCAAATAATCTCACACACAATGTAACACTATCCATCAATAAAAGGGTGAAAGAACTGACGAGGTGCTGATATTGACAAGGGGGTGGATAATTCCGCATCATCTCTGTGTGTGTGTGTGTGTGCTTGGCCATCATCAAGTAGTATTTCAGCTGGGTAAAAAGTGACAGTGATGAGCGCTGCCTTTTATCCAAAGTTGAACATTTTTCAACTCCCAGCGACCAGTAAAAACGCTGGGCGCTCGGCGCTTCAGTGTGAAAAAAACGGCCTGCGCCTCGGTACGCTCATGGTGTTTAAAAAACGTGGCGCTCCCATTGAAAACAATTGAAAACATACACCAGGGGCCTCATGTATCAACACTGCGTACGTACAAAAACACGGCGTACGCCAGCTTTCACGTTCACGGCCAGATGTACTAACAGTGAAATTAACGGAAGAATGTGCGTTCCTCCACGTAAACTTCATGTCTGGCGTACGTACATTTGCCTTGATTTGTCCGTTGGCGACTCCTAGAGGCAATAAGGTGAAGTGGCAAACATTACACTACGAATTGTTCTATCGCACCACCAGCTGTCAGATATTGCTTAATGATATGTCAAATAATGTATCAATTACAAATTATGTCACACGAGTCTTATTAAAATATTCTATGCAATTAAGTAAGAACATAAAGCATGTGCAAACCCGTCTAGCAATGGCAGCGTTGGCTTTACTAGGAAATAAAAAATAAACTTCATTATTTCGGTCAGTAAAGGTAAAAAAAAAAAAGAAAGTAATATTTTTATTCAGCCAGGACATATTGAATTTGTTTAAAAGTGCCCGTACATGCATTTATAATGTTAAAAACGATTATAAGATTTCTATATGTGTTTGATTTAAGTTGTTATTCATTAAAGAATCCTGAAAATACTATATCACGGTTTCCATGAAAATATGAAGCAGAAGCACAGCTGTTTTCAACACTGATGATAATCATAAATGTTTCTTGAACATCAAATCATCATATTAGAGTGATTTCCGAAGGATCACGTGACACTGAAGACGAGTAATGATGCTGAAAATTCAGCTTTGATCACAGGAATAAATTACACTTTCACATATATTCACATAGAAAACATTTTCAGTGGAATTTCATTTCCTTGCAGGTTTCTTTAGCCAAATTGGACTATTACCATATTTAAATTAATTTAATTGAGGGAGGAGACTGGGTGGGGCGTTGTGCTCGTGCATGTGCGCTCAATTTTACGTTAATTGGGATGTACAAAGAGAATAAGCGTGGGATCCTTCGTACGCAGACATTCATACGTCTGGTTTTTTTTGTGCGTACGCACATTTACAGCTTTGATCGTACGCTATGTTTTAGTATGAATTCAACGCAAGTCTTTGTACATGAGGCCCCAGGCGCGTGGAAAAACGCTTTGGTGGACACACAGCCTAAAAGTAAACTTTCCATTCAGAATCTTACTGGCATCCGTTTCGGCGTCTCGCACTCGTCATCCACTCAAAACGTAACGTTAACCAACTATTTGGCCGGCTCGCAAGCCGAATCAAGTGTGTTTGGCGTGCCTGTCATTTTGTTTCTGGTCTAGCTAGATCCGCTTGAGTTTTGGTCAACGAAGCAACAAAACGTCCTCACGCGGCGCAAGCCAATGAAAGGAATGGGTTTCATAGCGCCGCGCATGCCGCGTCCTGTTGCAATAGTATGTGAAAAAAACGACAAAGTTTGCTAGGACAAAAAGACCATTAATCGCGCGGAAAAAAAATTACACCGTTAAAATGGGTTTGCGTTAATGCCGTTAATAACGCATTAAACTGACAGCCCTATATATATATATATATATATATATATATATATATATATTTAGTGTGTATATATATATATAATATATATATTTAGTGTGTATATATATATATATATATATATAGATTTATTAGGGCTGTCACTTTATATATATATATATATATATATATATTAGGGCTGTCGGTTAAACCCGTTATTAACGGCGTTAACGCAAACACACACACACACACACACACAGATGATGCGAATTCTCCACCCCCTTGTCAATATCAGCACCTTGTCAGTATTTCTTTCACCCTTTTATTGATGGACAGTTACATTGTGTGACAGATTACTTGCTCCAAGTGAGAACGTTAGTGTGAAATTGAACACAGTATATGTCAATGTTGTTTTCAATAAAAAACATTTGCACAAAACAAGCCGATCCACTTTTCCATAAGAGCATTAAAATGAGAACAAATAATGGAACAAAAAGAAATCAAAAGACATTTATAATAGATAAAAATGTACGATTAATCGCGAGTTGACTATGACGTTAATGCGATTAATCGCGATTAAATATTTTAATCGTTTGACAGCACTAATATATATAGTCGCAAAATATTTTGTTGCAAATAAAGTGTCCAACTCTTTTGTCTCGTCTATGCTAATTTTATTGCTAATGTTTAATGCACTTTAAATGCACAGAATTCAATTTTTAGCACACACACACATTGTAAACTTCATCCACTCTGTTGAACTATCACACAGCTTTTTACCGATTCATCTGAAAACATGCTAACAAGTTGAGCGCTGGATGTCATGTTGATATTGTTCATAGACACATGTGCGTAGTCCATATGCCCAAACACACTGAAGATGTTCCAGTATCACTGCAAACCCCAAACACACGCACAGACGCATTGACATCATCACCACAGAGTGCTTTTGGCGAGCGGCTGGTGGTAATTTCCCTCCTCCGTCTTCTGCGCCCAGCTGGAATGGCGTTGTTGGCGGTTTACAGATGTATATCTGCATGCGGGACGTGCCATCGCACGGCTATGACTCACGTTGGCAGCCGCTGGGTTTCACGTGTTAATTTGAGAGGATGCTCACACGGCGTTGCCCACACACACTCTTCTCATCCGGGAGGGGGAACACCATTAAAGCGGATCCAGGTTCTCCAGTCTTTCTGATTTCTCACGCTTTTGTTGTTTTCAGTTGACGGAGGCCTTGCAGGTCCAAACGCCGCCTGTTCCTCCCGGCCCGTGTCAGCCGCCCAGGGTCGTGGGCAAACCCAAAGCCAGAGAGGTGCAGATACGATGGGGTAAGTGTGGCCTTTGTGTGTGTGTGTGCTTAATAGTTGCATATAAACAATGTATTTGGGGCTATTCGGGGGTGGCTTGAGTGGTGTATTTCACACCACAAGTGTTAAAGGTACTTTTAAATGCACGCCATTACAATATTGCGTTACGTCTGAAAAAGTAACTAATTGCATTACTCGTACAAGTAATTAGTTACTTGTAACGCAAGTTATGTAATCAGATTACTTTTATCTTGTAATGCATTACCCCAACACTGTACACTCCTGTTTATAAGTTTAGAATATGTTTTCATGTTTATAAATGAAGTCTCTAATGCTCATCAATGCTGCATTTATTTGATCACAAATATAGTAAAGAATGTGCAAGCTTGGTTTTGTAATTGCGACTTTTTATCTCACAATTGTGTGTGTGGGTTGGGGAGGGGAGTTATGATTATTATGAAAAATCTGGATTATGAGACAAGTTGAAATTAACTTTTGTAATGTTTATGTGGTGTGAGAGGCAAGCTTCCATTAAAAAAAACAGTAACAATGTGAAATGTTTAATAATTTTAACCTGTTAATTGTCACCCCCCTTTTTTTGAATATACATAAAAATGCACATTTCGAACTTAAATGGCTGTAATTCAAGTATGCTTTGGAATATAGACGTAAGGTTAGTCTCATTTTAAAAAAGATATTTGGCAGATTTTTGTAGAAGTGAAATAAATTAAGAATGTGAAACAAAAAAAAATGTTTATGAAAAATGATTCATTTTTTATTTAAAATATATATTTTCAAAACATAGGCGACTCTAAAAATGAAAAAAAAAAAAAAAATCAAAGCCCAAAATCTGAATAGGTTGTGTTTAAAAATTTTTGGTTGATATCTGAAAAAAAAAGAGCTTTTAGTGAGATTTTGTTTGGGCGCAGTACCAAACTTTTTCACTAGGGCTCAACCAGACTCCATTACTGCCCATATAAGGGCGCCTCCATTTCCATAAGAGTTTTGAGTGATATGAACCATTCAGACCTTTTTTTTTTTCGAAAATAATTGAATGGATGCTATCTTGTGAACTCTTGGCATGAAAACAAACTGAGGTTTCTACCCTTCTTCCATGATTTTTCATGTTTATCACAATTTCAAAATAAAGGTCTGAACATGCCTTAGGAGTATGAAAATATTTTTGTTGCAAATTGATCAATTACGGTTGCTCTTATTTTGAAAATCAGTCACCAAATATGGAAACTAGAGATTGTAATCTTTCAAATGATATGTAGTTTGTCAAAATTAGTTTAGGTTCGTATAGGCGAATACTGTTTTTAAAATATATTGGATTTGGGCCCACCGGTGGGCCCGTGACACTTCCGAGGTTAAATCTATTCCTGTGATGTAAAGCTGTATTTTCAGCATCATTACTCCAGTCTTCAGTGTCACATGATCTCTGAGAAATCAAGAATTATTTTATCAACAGTTGTGCTGCTTTAATATTTATTTTGCAAAAAAAATTTCAGGATATTTATTTTTAATTTAATTTGTCGTGTAAACATGTAAAATGTCACTTTTGATCGATCTAAGTGTCCTTGCTGAACACGTACGTGTGTGTTAGAGAGAGGATGATGCATCTAAACGCCTTCTCCCATTGTGTCTGTTAGCGCCCCCTCTGGTGGATGGAGGAAGTGCAGTGTCTTCGTACAGCATGGACATGTTGGCTCTGCAGGGGGAGGAGAGCAGGGAAGTGTACCAGGGCTGTGAGCTGGACTGCACAGTGGGCAGTTTGCTGCCCGGCAGGACCTACGCCTTCCGGATCAGAGCTGCCAACAAGGCTGGGGTGAGCGCAAGCTTACACACGCCACATAGTTGCTAATAATCTGTTCTTTTCATGAAATGCGCCACATGCAGTTTTACGTCAGCTAGCAAGTTGTTTCATATCTTGTTTGCGTTGAACAGTACGGCCCTTTCTCGGAGCGCTCTGAGGTCACGACGGGTCCGGGGGCCCCTGAGACGTGTCGGGCCCCTCATGTCACCTGTAAATCACCCACGTGTGCTGTGGTCAGCTGGGAGGTGAGCATATCCCATGATTCAAAGTGTTGTTACTGTGTCAAGCAACTCTTTAGTAGCTTTGAGAGTTCAGATTCATTTTAGCAAATAATTTTGCTGTGAGTGAATAACAATTACCGTTAACTAAAAACATTTAAAAAAAAAACATTAATTGATGAAGTAAACAAAAACTAAAACTTAATATATCTACATCTACACATTTTCAGAAAATAACAAACTAAACTATTACATAAGCACACCCAAATAACAGAATAATTCAAATGAATACAAAATTAGATAAAATACAAAATTTAAAATATGAATAAAAACGTAATGATATTAAAATAACACGACTACATCAGAATTTAATTCGAGTGATTTCAGTGTTTAATTTAAGTTGTAGCATATTTCTTCAATATACATTTTTTCAAATATTTTGCAGTTTGTTTTTGGCTGTGAGCTTTTATTTACATAATATCATAGATGAAAATAACTATTCCCCACTTAATTATTTTGGTAGTGCTTCTATTGCTTTTTGGTGCGTTATATTTTTATTTGTTTCATTTTGTTTGGCGTTTTTGTTTTTTATTTGTTTGCACCTGTTTTTAGTTTTTATTCTTGTTTATTGCTTAGTGTGTGGTGTTTGTGTCCTCACACGTGTTTGTGTTCGCCCCGCAGGCCCCGGTCTGTAACGGAGCAGCCGTCTCGGAGTACCGCCTGGAGTGGGGGGCGGCCGAGGGCAGTATGCAGCTGTGTTACACTGGTGCTGCACTGTCCCATGAGATGAGGGGGCTGCTGCCCGCCACCAACTACTTCTGCAGAGTCCAGGTGAGAAGCCAACGCCATCATGCTTATGCTTATTTCTGCCAAAATAGTGTGTTTGAGCTGCTGATGGCAAGATCGGATGCAACGAACCAGGAAATAGCTGTCTGGTGGCTGATTATGCTTTTACTTCCTGTAAGTGCAAAACAATCAGCTTGATGATTCATAAACATTAGATGACTGGGCAAGTTCCAACTTTACATTGTCAGCGCCACCCAGTGGTTGACAGAGACAAATATAGATTTTTTTTTTTTTTTGTGGGCTTTAAGAAATGGCTCTTTATTACTGTATCGAGGGCTGTTGTCTACTAATTTTTGGCTGAAATTTTGTTCCGTGGAACAATCTGTAATTATATAAAAAATATGCTCAATCCCGGACTGTTACTTCAGATTCACAAGAGCGATACATGTCTAATTCAGTCTTAGGATCTGAGTTTGAAATCGTGTGTCGTTTCAATAATTAGAATCAGTTAATACATTCGTTTTCAGTGCATTTACTGTTGCATGTTAGTCTAGTATATTTAGTCTTGATGGGTTTTCTGCTGACTCTGCTAGAATGCACAAGGTTAAAGATTAAAGGTGCATTTGATGTTCTTGTCAGGCCTGTTCAAACTAGTCACTCGCTGACTGTGTGATTGAGTTTGCTTGTTTTGTTTTTGCTTTTTATTTAGCTTTTTGTTTTCTTGTACTTGCTTTTGGTTTTGCTTTTTATTTTGCTTTTACTTTTGTTTTCTTGTGTTTGCTTTTTGTTTTGTTTTCTTGTATTTGCTTTTTATTTAAGTTTTACTTTTGTTTTCTTGTATTTGCTTTTTGTTTAGTTTTCTAACATTTAGCTGGGTCTTTGCATGAACTGCAGGTTAAAGATGAAAGGTTTATTTGATGTTCGTGTCAGGCCTGTTGAAAGTGTGATTTATGCCTCTTTTTGCTTGAGTTTTTTGTATTTGCTTTTTGTTTTCTTTTTTATTTTATTTTTTTGCTTTGTTCAATCATTTTTAGGGCCCGAGCACTAACAGTGCGAGGACCCTATTGAAACTGTTAGGGTTATTTATTTTTTTTTTTCTCTCTCTTTTTTCTGCAAAGTAAGCGCCATTTTCGGGGCCGCAACATGCTCAAAAACTCACCAAATTTGGCACGCATGTCAGGACTGGTGAAAAATTTCGTATTTTGTGGGTTTCACGGATGGGCGTGGCAAAACGGCACGCTAGCGCCACCTAGAAAATTTGAAAAAATTAGCCCCTCGTCCATGTTCAGCCTACATGCACGAAATTTGGTGGGGACGTGTATCATATCAAGATGCACAAAAAAGCCTCAATAACCCATACCCTAAACTCGACAGGAAGTCCGCCATTTTGAATTTGGCGGCCATTTTTGGACGATTTACACACTCCGTACTTTAACGAACTCCTCCTAGGGATTTAGTCGGATCGACTTCAAATTTCTGCTGTGCCTTCTAAAGGCATTGACGATGTAAAGTTGTGCTATCTGCGCGTTTTTGTCGATGGGCGTGTCCGTGGCGTCGATGATTCGCCATGAAACAGGAAGTTGTAGTAACTTGGCTGTAAATGCCCAGATCTGCACGAAATTTTACACATTTGACAAGAGTCCCGCCCTGAACAAATCTACATGCCGACATTCACCCACAGTCATAGCGCCACCTGCTGGCAACAGGAAGTGAACTTTAACGAAGCAGCCCCCGCCGCTTGTTTGACCGATATGTACGAAATTTCTGTGGTACATCTACCATGACCAGACGCACAAAAAAGCCTCAAAACCCATACCCTAAACTCGACAGGAAGTCCGCCATTTTGAATTTGGCGACCGATTGGGACGATTTACACACTCCGTACTTTAACGAACTCCTCCTAGGGATTTAGTGGGATCAACTTCAAATTTCTGCTGTACCTTCTAAAGGCATTGACGATGTAAGTTGTGTGCTATCTGCGCGTTTTCGTCGATGGTGTGACCGTGGCGTCGATGATTCGCCATGAAACAGGAAGTTGTTAGTAACTTGCTGTAAATGCTCAGATCTGCACGAAATTTTACACATTTGACAAGAGTCCGCCCTGAACAAATCTACATGCCGACATTCACCCTAAGTCATAGTGCCACCTGCTGGCAACAGGAAGTGACCTTTACCGAAGCAGCGAACCAAATTCACAGCCGCACCGGCTGAGCTGTAGAATATGCAACGCGGCCGTCTCACACCCCAACGCGCTACAGGTGCGAGGGCCTGCCCATCGCTGCTTGCAGCTTTAATTTGCATTTGCTTTTTGTTTTTTGCTTTTTATTTAGCGTTTACTTTAGTTTTCTTGTATTTACTGTTTGTTTAGTTTCCTTGTATTTGCTGTTTGTTTAGTCGTCTTGTATTTGCTGTTTGTTTAGTTGTCTTGTATTTGCCGTTTGTTAGGTTTTCGTGTATTTGCTGTTTGTTTAGTTGTCTTGTATTTGCTGTTTGTTTAGTTGTCTTGTATTTGCTGTTTGTTTAGTTGTCTCGTATTTGCCGTTTGTTTAGTTGTCTCGTATTTACCGTTTGTTTAGTTGTCTTGCATTTGCCTTTTGTTTAGTTGTCTTGTATTTGCCGTTTGTTTAGTTGTCTCGTATTTGCCGTTTGTTTAGTTGTCTTGTATTTGCTGTTTGTTTAGTTGTCTTGTATTTGCTGTTTGTTTAGTTGTTTCGTATTTGCTGTTTGTTTAGTCGTCTCGTATTTGCCGTTTGTTTAGTTGTTTCGTATTTGCTGTTTGTTTAGTTGTCTTGCATTTGCCTTTTGTTTAGTTGTCTTGCATTTGCCGTTTGTTTAGTTGTCTCGTATTTGCCGTTTGTTTAGTTGTCTCGCATTTGCCGTTTGTTTAGTTGTCTTGTATTTGCCGTTTGTTTAGTTTCCTTGTATTTGCCGTTTGTTTAGTTGTCTCGTATTTGCCGTTTGTTTAGTTGTCTTGCATTTGCCGTTTGTTTAGTTGTCTTGTATTTGCCGTTTGTTTAGTTTCCTTGTATATGCTGTTTGTTTAGTTGTCTCGTATTTGCCGTTTGTTAGGTTTTCGTGTATTTGCTGTTTGTTTAGTTGTCTTGTATTTGCGGTTTGTTTAGTTGTCTCGTATTTGCCGTTTGTTTAGTTGTCTCGTATTTGCCGTTTGTTTAGTTGTCTCGTATTTGCCGTTTGTTTAGTTTTTTCTATTTGCTGTTTGTTTAGTTGTCTCGTATTTGCTGTTTGTTTAGTTGTCTTGTATTTGCGTTTGTTTAGTTGTCTCGTATTTGCCGTTTGTTTAGTTGTCTCGTATTTGCCGTTTGTTTAGTTGTCTCGTATTTGCCGTTTGTTTAGTTTTCTTCTATTTGCTGTTTGTTTAGTTGTCTTGTATTTGCGGTTTGTTTAGTTGTCTCGTATTTGCCGTTTGTTTAGTTGTCTCGTATTTGCCGTTTGTTTAGTTTTCTCGTATTTGCCGTTTGTTTAATTGTCTCGTATTTGCCGTTTGTTTAGTTTTCTCGTATTTGCTGTTTGTTTAGTTGTCTTGTATTTGCTGTTTGTTTAGTTTTCTCGTATTTGCCATTTGTTTAGTTGTCTTGTATTTGCCGTTTGTTTAGTTGCTTAGTAGCTTTTAAATTTTTCTTGTATTTGATTTTTGTTTTGTTTTCTTGTCTTTGCTTTTTGTTTAGTTTTCTTGTATTTGCTTTTTGTTTTGCTTTTTATTTAGCTTTTAAATTTTTCTTGTATTTGCTTTTTGTTTAGTTTTCTAACACCTTTGCTGTGTGTTTGCAGGCGGTGAATGTCGCGGGTGTGGGGCTCTTCAGCGACGCTGTGCTCTGCCAGACGCCCTGCTCTGTGCCAGCGACGGTCAGCAGTGTCCACGCTCTCCGTGAGTCCGAGATGAGAGTGGAGTGCAGTACTGCGGAGAGGGGCGAGGAGGAGGAGGAAGAGGAGGATGAAGAAGATGAAGAGGCCACTCCTCTCCTCTACTCTCCGTCCACCTGCCTCGGGCTGCGCTGGGAGGCGCCGTGCGATCACGGGTCAGAAATCACGTCTTACCTGATCGACCTGGGAGAGAAACAACCCATCCTTACAGGGCCAGTAACCAAATACATCATCCAGAACCTGCAGCCCGACACCACCTACAGGTACAACGGCACAAAACACTGGCAACAGCAAACTCACAGTGGGACCAGTATAGTCTGTTTTTGCGAATGTATGAACGATTCGGTATAAATCTTGATATATATTGTTATTGTGAAAATAATTTCTCATGTTGTGATATAACATTTTGGTCATATCGCCCACCTATAATATATATATATATATATATATATATATATATATATATATAAATATATATAATTGGTAAATAAACAGCACTCCTGCTCATGTGATATTGGTAAACTATGTCATAGGATACAAATATAAGACAAAACTCCATAGATGGGCATATTTTGTTAACTGCATTTTATAGGCTTCTACATAAATTACATAACTGCATGCAATGTAAGATGACATACAGGTCTGTGGGCGGTGCGTTAAAAGCGTTAATAATTTTAAGTTTAACATGTTTTTTTCATAATTAATCACACCAAATAAATGTGTTAAACCAACAGCTCTCATTTTAAAATATAATTTATTCCTGTGATCAAAGCTGAATTTTCAGCATCATCAGTGTCGCATGATCTTTCAGAAATCATTCTAATATGATGATTTGATGCTCAAGAAACATTTCTTATCATTATCAATGTTGAAAACTGTTGGTTTAACTGCTTAATACTTTTGTGAAAATCGAGATATGCTAAACATTAAACAGTTTGGGGTACAAATTGATATTTGTATTCACCAAGAATGCATTACATCGTAAAAACTTTTGGACTTTTTATTCATCGATTATCATGGATTTTACAAAAATTTTAAGCAGCAAAAACTCTTTCTCATTTATAATAATAACAAATGTTGATTTCTGAAGGATCATGAGACACAGAAGACTGGAGTAATGATGCTGAAAATTCATCAGGAACACATTACATTTAAAATTGTAGAAATATTTCACATCATTGCCGTCTGATGGATTTTTTTTATCAAATAAATGCAGCCCTGGTGGGCATATTTTCTTTAAAAAAAAAAAAAAAATCATTATTCCAAGCTATAATAAGCCCAGCTGTGCCTGACTGAATCTGGTGTGTGTGTTTGAAGGATACGGATCCAGGCTCTGAATAGTCTGGGTGCAGGACCCTTTAGTCACACCTTTAAACTGAAGACCAAGCCACTGCCACCCCTCCCTCCCCGTCTGGAGTGCACCGCCTCCAGCCACCAGACCCTCAGGCTCAAGTGGGGCGACGGCCCGGCCAAGGCCCAACCCACCGATTCCCTACAATACCATCTCCAAATGGAGGACAGAAATGGGAGGTAAGTTGCTGCATAATTGTTGCCTTTGTTAAAATCAGCCATTTATACATTAACATTCAAAAGATTGTAGTCCGTAATATTGGGGTTGAGGCGATGTCACTTCTTATGTCTTGAAATTATTTAAATTGGTATCCCCAAGTTAGCGTTTTTTGCAATGGGAGAGATTTTTGCCACAAATTATGCCAACTTATTTGTGTGTATTTTTTAGCATTATGTATTTAATAGATATGTAACTAATTTTCAGATATATGGAGGATCTTGATGCTCAAGACATTTTGTGAACAATTTTACTTTGAAAGTGAATTCTTCATGAGAACATTTTCCGAATATGTGGATGTAGAAAAGTCGAAGGCAGTCTTATCACAAATTTATTTACCAAAGAAACTGATTAGGGCGGTCTAAATTACTGAAAATTACTTAAATATTACTAATTCAATTCAAATTTACACATAATTTTAGTTAGGGAGAACAGCTTTGGCTTGTCTCCTGATACTTCATTCTTTTAAATAGGAATATCTGAAGAACAAATCATGTTGAAACTAGAGATGTATCTCATGTTGTTGTTTTTGTTTTTTTATCAACTCAATTGCATTGAACATTCCTGTCTGAGTGCCATAAATATTCCTTTTCTGCACTTTGCATGCCTGTAACTCTTAAAGTATTACAGATATCTTAATATCCTTCTAGATTCTCATTCTTAATACACTTTTCTTTTGGAATCTTTATTTTCAAGATCCTATAAAGTTCAGTCCCATAGATATGAGGAGCTCAAAGCAGCTCCATGTTCAAATTGTCGAATTTTACCAATGTTCAATGATTGACACAGCTGGTTGCATCTGAAGAGGAATGTCTGAAGAATAAATACATTTTTAAACTAGAAATGGATCTTGTTTCCCTCAATTAAATGAATTGCAAAAACATACAGTAACTCTGAGTACCAAAAATCCACTGAAAATGGTCAAGGCACATTAACTCGCTCTCTCACGTGTATAATAATCTATATTTGAATCAGTTTTAGAGATATTTAGAAGTTGGTGTTTTGTTGAAGCTACCAAGAGTCCAAATACGCTGTTTCATAAGGACAAAAGTTTCACAAGAACGAGAATCTGAAAGTACAGTTAGATATCTTTAACACTTCTTGAATTAAACTTCAGAAAATTGTTTGTTTTCGGATATCAGAGAGGTGTATTCAATTGTTGAGAAAAACCAGGATACATTTGGTTCTTGATCATCGAAAATGGGTCAAATTCAAGGATATTAAGATGTATTGAATAATTTTAGAGTTACAGGCATGACGACTCGTGGAGCCGGAATTGAACCATCGAGGGCCTTTAGAATAAAGACACTAAAAAGGAAACTTTAAGAACCCGAATATAAAAGGATTTTAAGATATCTTTAATACTTTATAAATTACAGGTATGCAAACCTGGGGCAAAAAACACAAGAAGCGCTTTTTGACATATTTGAACAGTCACCGTTGGCATATAATGCAACAAAGATTGCTAAACTCAACAGATTTAACTAATAGACCTACAGTCCCAATCTCTCTAGTGTCAATTGGCTCCAAATCTCAAATCCAAAATCTACAAAATAGTGGATTCCTAAGTAAATATACATCTGTGACATTTAATATTTTTTGGCTTGGTTACGTCTTTGACACATTAATCTTCTCTATTTCTGCCATGTTTCAACTGGAAAGGCTCACGAAAGCATTCAAAAGCAACTAAAACTCTAAAAACGCAAAATCTATTAAAAAAGAAAAACGGTTTCTGTAAATCGTAATCGTATTTTACAGTATTACTGTTTTTACTGTAGATTTGATCGCATATTCTAAAAAAAACCTTACAGATTTACACATTTATTTCTAGATTTGAAACTCGCTCAGATTTGTGTATGTACAAGTCAAGTCTCTCATTTATTCTAGGATTGTAATATCGTGTGTTTCGTGACTTTATAGAGTTCAGACTTATGACATTGTCTCTGGTTCTCTCTCTCTCTTAACGTCTCTTCCTGAAGGTTTATATCCTTGTATAAAGGACCTTGTCACACTCACAAAGTGCAGAGGCTAAATGAGTCTACCTCCTACGCGTTCCACATCCAGGCCTTTAACGAGGCGGGCGAGGGGCCCTTCTCCACTGTTTACACCTTCACCACCCCCCTCTCCCCACCGGCACCCCTGAAAGGTACCGAAACACACGCGACACACAAACTTTCTTTTGTTTTTTTGCTTGTTTTTAAACACTCAAGTTTGGGTTACCTCATGTATCTCACAAAACCTGTCATGAACATCATCAGGTCATGTTTGCCCTTAATATCAAATGGTGTGTGTGTGAAATACAAGTACAAGTTGCCTAATTACTGTATGTACTTGTTGGTTATTGGTTTTATTTAAGTGATTTTTTTTTATTTGTTGGTGGTGCGTATCATCATAACACAAGGAAAAAAAAGTATTTCTAAAACAATGTCTGTTAAAGAAAATATTTGTTTAATGTATTAAATTATTTGAATGGGAAGATTCCACATTTTTGCATGGGTTTGTTCTCATCATCCTTGCGTCTCCCTTCAGCTCCTCGCGTGGAGCGCGTGGACGAGTCGTGCGAGGTGAGCTGGGAGACACTGCCACCTATGAAGGGAGATCCAGTCATCTACTGTTTGCAAAGCATGCAGGGAAATTCTGAATTCAAACAGGTACCTACACCACACTATCACCTCCATGAACAATTTTCAGTAGCTCACCAAACACCAAAAATGCTCAATGCAGCATCTCAATCTCTGCACAAAGCGTCTCAAATGTCGGTCTCCACTTCACGGCGCTCGGCAGACAGCAGGTGTCGAGTCCAGGAATATTATTATAGCATAATGGCGATCAAGTGCTCATTACTGGACGGCTTAGTGACAGTTATTACACATAATGTTAGGGCCAGATCAAATCTAGCCACTGAAATTTGTGCCTTGATTGTACATGATCTATATTCTGACATCATGTTGTGACAATGGCCTTCATAACCTCGGATTAGCAACGCCATCATGAAAGTTAAGAAGCACCTAAGTACAGAATAGAATTAGTAGGGTTGATGTTTAAAGGGTTAGTTCACCCAAAAATGAAAAATCTGTCATTACTTACTTGTCGTTCCAATGTCCCGTACGATGTTCGTTCGTCTTTGGAACAAGTTAAGGTCTTTTTGGTGAAATCTGAGAGCTTTCTGTCCCTCAATGGACAGCTAACGCAACTACCATGTTTCAAAAAGTTCATAAAGAGATCGTGAAACCAATCCATGAATCGAGTGGTTTAGTCCAAATTTTCTCAAGAGACGCGATCACTTTATATGATGAACTGAGGAATATTTGTATGTGAATAAAAGCCTAAATTCATTGATTCTGTGAGAACCAATGAGGTTCATTCTCGTGTGTTACGAAGCAACCAATGATGTTCATTCTCGTGTTACGAAGCAACCAATGAGGTTCATTCTCGTGTGTTACAAAGCAACCAATGAGGTTCATTCTCGTGTGTTACGAAGCAACCAATGAGGTTCATTCTCGTGTCACGAAGCAACCAATGAGGTTCATTCTCGTGTGTTACAAAGCAACCAATGAGGCTCATTCTCGTGTTACGAAGCAACCAATGAGGTTCATTCTCGTGTGTTACGAAGCATGTTTGAGCTTTTGCGAGAACCAATGAGATTCATTCTCGTGTTACGAAGCAACCAATGAGGTTCATTCTCGTGTTACGAAGCAACCAATGAGGTTCATTCTCGTGTGTTACGAAGCAACCAATGAGGTTCATTCTCGTGTGTTACGAAGCATGTTTGAGCTTCTGCGAGAACCAATGAGATTCATTCTCATGTGTTACGAAGCAACCAATGATGTTCATTCTCGTGTTACGAAGCAACCAATGAGGTTCATTCTCGTGTGTTACAAAGCAACCAATGAGGTTCATTCTCGTGTGTTACGAGGCAACCAATGAGGTTCATTCTCGTGTCACGAAGCAACCAATGAGGTTCATTCTCGTGTGTTACAAAGCAACCAATAAGGTTCCTTCTCGTGTTACGAAGAAACCAATGAGGTTCATTCTCGTGTGTTACGAAGCAACCAATGAGGTTCATTGTCGTGTGTTACGAAGCATGTTTGAGCTTCTGCGAGAACCAATGAGATTCATTCTCATGTGTTACGAAGCAATCAATGATGTTCATTCTCGTGTTACGAAGCAACCAATGAGGTTCATTCTCGTGTGTTACAAAGCAACCAATGAGGTTCATTCTCGTGTGTTACGAGGCAACCAATGAGGTTCATTCTCGTGTCACGAAGCAACCAATGAGGTTCATTCTCGTGTGTTACAAAGCAACCAATAAGGTTCATTCTCGTGTTACGAAGAAACCAATGAGGCTCATTCTCGTGTTACAAAGCAACCAATGAGGTTCATTCTCGTGTGTTACGAAGCACGTTTGAGCTTCTGCGAGAACCAATGAGGTTCATTCTCGTGTGTTACGAAGCAACCAATGAGGTTCATTGTCGTGTGTTACGAAGCAACCAATGATGTTCATTCTCGTGTGTTATGAAGCAACCAATGAAGTTCATTCTCGTGTGTTACGAAGCACGTTTGAGCTTCTGCGAGAACCAATGAGATTCATTCTCATGTGTTACGAAGCAACCAATGATGTTCATTCTTGTGTGTTACGAAGCAACCAATGATGTTCATTCTCGTGTGTTACGAAGCAACCAATGAGGTTCATTCTCGTGTGTTACGAAGCACGTTTGAGCTTCTGCGAGAACCAATGAGATTCATTCTCATGTGTTACGAAGCAACCAATGATGTTCATTCTCATGTTACGAAGCAACCAATGAGCTTCATTGTCGTGTGTTACGAGGCAACCAATGAGGTTCATTCTCGTGTCACGAAGCAACCAATGAGGTTCATTCTCGTGTGTTACAAAGCAACCAATAAGGTTCATTCTCGTGTTACGAAGCAACCAATGAGGTTCATTCTCGTGTGTTACGAAGCATGTTTGAGCTTTTGCGAGAACCAATGAGATTCATTCTCGTGTTACGAAGCAACCAATGAGGTTCATTCTCGTGTGTTGCGTAGCAACCAATGATGTTCATTTTCGTGTTACAAAGCAACCAATGAGGTTCATCCTCGTGTGTTACGAAGCACGTTTGAGCTTCTGCGAGAACCAATGAGGTTCATTCTCGTGTGTTACGAAGCAACCAATGATGTTCATTCTCGTGTGTTATGAAGCAACCAATGAGGTTCATTCTCGTGTGTTACGAAGCACGTTTGAGCTTCTGCGAGAACCAATGAGGTTCATTTTCGTGTTACGCAGCACGTTTGAGCTTCTGCGAGAACCAATGAGATTCATTCTCATGTGTTACGAAGCAACCAATGATGTTCATTCTCGTGTGTTATGAAGCAACCAATGAGGTTCATTCTCGTGTTATGAAGCAACCAATGAGGTTCATTCTTGTGTTACGCAGCACGTTTGAGCTTCAGCAAGAGCCAATGAGGTTCATTATCGTGTTATGAAGCAACCAATGAGGTTTATTGTCGTGTTACGAAGGACGTTTGAGCTTCAGCAAGAACCAATGAGGTTCATTCTCGTGTGTTACGCAGCACGTTTGAGCTTCTGCAAGAGCCAATGAGGTTCATTCTCGTGTGTTACGAAGCACGTTTGATCTTCAGCAAGAGCCAATGAGGTTCATTCTCGTGTTACGAAGCACGTTTGATCTTCAGCAAGAGCCAATGAGGTTCATTCTCGTGTTACGCAGCACGTTTGAGCTTCAGCAAGAGCCAATGAGGTTCATTCTCGTGTGTTACGAAGCACGTTTGAGCTTCTGCGAGAACCAATGAGGTTAATTTCTGTGTGTTACTAAGCACGTTAGTACATAATGTTACATAATGTACAAAAACAGATACGATTTGACAGATTTAAAATTTGGTCTGTAACTTCCACAAATCATATTGCTTCAGAAAACAGATAATACTACAAAACAATAAATAAGTAAAAGTTACTTAAACATTCTGCAAAATATCTCCTTTTCTCCATCTCAATCATATGGTTTTGAAAAGACATGGGCAATAAATTAATAGAAATAGAAAACCGTCCCTTCAAATGTGGGTCCTAAGGGGCCCGCTGGAGAGCCGGGTAAACGCATCACCGAGATGTCTGAATTTGCAGTATTGAATTTAATTGTCACTGGAAAAACTGTGTGTCAGACGAGACCCGACAGATCTGTGTGATTTAAGTTAAGAGCACTCTAGCGAGAGCACCTGCGCTGGCGGCCTGTGAGTGACTGTAGAAATGAGCGTAGTGGAAGGGTAAAGCAGTCTCACTGGCTCTGACTCATCGCCGCCTGCTGTGGGAGACTGCAGGCTGATGAGAGGCTTGTCTGTGTGTTGATGCAGCCCACACACACACGTGCACGACTTCTAATGCATATATTCATGTTCCTCAGGCGTGTTATTTCTCTCTCTACACATCTGCATCTTTAAAATAGACTTAATCAGTTCTTTTCTTCTTTGTATAATGACACGAATCCAGTGCTAAATATTGGTCTAGATAATGATTACTGGTCTATTCAAAAATACGCAAATTTTATGTCTTAGTAAAGCATGATGCTTTTTCGATTGAGAATTGGATCTAAATATGTGACAATACTTCTATTAAATACACCATACCTCTATTAGATACAAAAATGCCTTACTATTTTAAATACAGAAAATATAATTGTTGTTATTATGTTATATGCATGCACTACATAACACAAATTTGGGGTCAGTTGTATAAGAAATGTATTAAATACACATTAGAATGATTTCTAAAGGGTCAGGTGACACTGAAGAAATGATGCTGAAAATTCAGCTTTAATCACAGGAATATTAAATTAAAAATTTTCAAATATTAAAATAAAGGTTTGTGTTTATATAATATATATTTGTTCTGTGTATAATTATTTTGTATATATAAATACACATACATTCATGTATATAGTTATGAAATAGGTTTTATTAATATATTAAATATATATATATTAGAGCTGTGCAAAAGTTAATTGCGATTAATCGCATCCAAAATAAAATTCTGTGTTTACATAATATATTTGTGTGTGCTGTACATAATTATGTTGTATATATAAATACCTATGCATGCATGTATATATTGAAGAATTATTTGCGCTTAAATTCTGTATATATTTATAAATACATAATCTATATTATATAAATATAAATATTTTATATATGACTAACACATTTTCTTAAATATATACATGCATGTGTGTGTGTTTATATATACAACATAATTATATACAGCACACACAAATATATTATGTAAACACAGACTTTTATTTTGGATGCGATTAATCGCAATAAATTTTTGCACAGCCCTAATATATGTATATATATATATATATATATATATATACTGTATATATATATATACATACATACATACATACATACATGCATACATATGTTTGTATTTGGATATACAAAATAATTATACACCATACACACACATATATTATTTTAACACAAACTTTGATTTTGGATGTGATCAATCACGCTTAAAGGAGTAGTTTACTTTTGAAAACTTTTGTTGATAATTTACTCATCCCCATGTTATCCACGATGTCCACGTATTTCTTTCTTCAGTCGAAAAGAAATTAAGGTTTTTGATGAAAACATTCCAGCATTTTTCTCCATATAATGGACTTCACTGGGAACCAAACGGTTCAAGGTCCAAAAGACAGTTTCAGTGCAAACTGTTCAAAGGGCTTTAAACGATTCCAGACGATGAATAATCTTATCTAGCGAAACGAATCGCTCATTAAAAAAAAAAATAAAGTTTAAGTTTTATTAGCCCAAATTCTCACCTTGCTCTGTACTGGGATGCACGTTTGTGACTCTCCTGCTCGAATCTTTTTTTGAGTCATTTGGTTCATTCAACGAACGAATTGACTCGAAAAAATATTTGTCCGTTTTAATACAAAACACATATTTAAAATTGTAATAATGCTTTTAATCAACTAAATCCAGCCTTGGGAAGAAAGACAAACAACACGGAACAACTTTTGAACACTAGTGTTTATATAATGTTCCGGTCCAAATTTTTTGCAACATACTAATTTTTCATTTCCGTCTCCAATCCTCTCAGATCTACAGGGGCTCCGCCACTTCCTTCCAGCTCCCCAACTTGAGCTCGTCCACGGACTACCGGTTTCGCGTCTGCGCCATCCGGCAGTGCCAGGACGCCCCCGAAATCATCGGGCCCTACAGCTCCACCGTCATCCTGCTCCCGCCTCGCATCGACACCCCCGGGGCCTCCGGCGCCACGGGGTCCAAAGCGGCCGAGGCCCAGAAGCCAAAACGCAGCCTGACGGACGAACAGTTTTCTTTCCTCATCATCGCCCTCCTGGCCGTGACCTCCATCCTCATCGCGGTCGCCATCCAGTACTTCGTGATCGAATGAGCCTCGGTTGCCGCGCTACATCGTTCAAAGCGAGTTGGTTTCGTTGATGTTTCTTTTTGTTTCTTTATTTCCGTTTCGTGGCGCAAGCGTCGAGGAGCCGCTCGAAGGGAAGGATCGAGAAAAGGAAGTTGTAGAGTCACCCAATCTATCGTTCTGTCTTTCTCGCTCGCCTTCTGCGCATGCCGTCAAAAGAACGCCGTTTCCCTTCCCCCGACGGACTCGGGGAGTGCGGTTTATTGAAGGATCAGCAGCGAAGCTTAGCGCTCGTCGCGTACTCGCCGTACCACTTCATTTATTTGTGTAGCTGTAGTCTTTATGTTATTTATACGTATCATTTTCTGTGGAGTGTAAGTTTCGTTCAGTGTTCCAAAGCTAGCTCGGTGGTCGCGCCGCTCACCGGTTTGCTATCTTGGGCCTGGGACTTGAGGGCCAGTGACCACACCGTCAGCGACCCGGGGAGATAAATGAAGGGGAGGCGAGACCGATACCGCTCGAATTAGCGAAACGTTGATTTAGCACTTTCCTCAGAACTTTTTTTGATGTTCAGAATGTGTAAAGGATGCAAAAATAACTAGAGAAATGTTAGTATATTTTTGTACAGTATGATTACGAGGACCTGAGATATTCTGGCTTAGTACGGGAAGTAAGACTACGACTATGAATACCAAACTAACTCAGCTTAATAGTTATTTTTACTATCATGTACGTATACTGTAGCTTGTTTTTACAATCAAGCAGCTGCTTTGCTCCAAAATATTGTCGTTCAGCACAAACAATGTACGCTTTCTCGGAAACCTTTCCTTCAGTCGTTACCTTTGCACCTTAGTGAGAAGAGAAAAAAAAAATACTTATTGAATGCGTCTTGATCTTGTGATGCGTTTTATGGATCATGTTCTCCGGTTGTGCAAGCCCTCAATGTGTTTTGGCTGTTTTTAAAAATGTAGTACCACAAAATTTGTTCTTGAAATGGTTGATTCTTGACAAGTCATATAGTATTTTCTTAATTTCTCTATTGGTCGTTTTTTCGGGGGTGGGAGGAGGAGGGGGTTGTTTAGTTTTAGAAAGCAAAATATCACATTGTTAACCTTTTACTTTTAGCAATATTATTTTTTTGATGTAATCTCGAGATTATTGAATATATGACTAAATGTTTTCAGATGTTTTTTTTTTTTTGTTTAAATCACACATTTGAACTTTATTTTTTTATATGGAAAGTAAAACCTTTAAGTTAATTCTGTCCAGCAAAGAAATTAAGAAAAGCGCAAGAAACAAAACGCAAACCGCAGTAATGAATTGTGTTAATCCTACATGTACTTCCTGTGAAATCGAAATTTTTGCCTTTTTCTCTGTGTGTTTAAGTCTTGTGACTGATTGTCAACGCTGCGCGACGACAGCATGACGTTCCGGTCGTAGGGTTTCGTGTTTTGTGCTTTGGTTATGGGCATATGAGTGCTGTCAACAACAGTTAACAACTACAGGTACCTTGCAAGGAGTCTTGAATGAAAATGAATTACATGATTTGGTCTAATAGATATTCTGCAAATGTCTTCTGTTTGTCATTGAAGGAAAAAAAAAGAAAAATCTCAAATTCCTATTTTTGATAGTGATACAGTGTAATTGCAAATTGTGCCATTTTAACATCTCCCCACCATGGTAGGCGTTTGGTTCTCGGGAGAAAGAAAAACGACAAAAAAATCAATAAAATATGCACAAAAAATGAGACCATTTTTATGTAATTTTAATGTTTGCAGTTACCTCATACACCGTACATTCCAAAACAAAAATTTGTTATAGTATACATACTACAAGACATATCACTTTAAAATGTTATCAGATAGGAAATGTATAATCATATATATGTATCGAAAAAGTGTGTCTGTATAGTCATGATATCTACAGATGGATCCATGCACAATAAAAGATTTATAATTCTTAATCGTCGTCTTTTACTGCATGTTGCCAAATGTATGCAGATTCATATCGTTTTGTGTCCTCTCGCTCATGCTTTCGTCCACAAAGAAGGGAAGAGCCAGTTAGAGATCTCGCTCCAGACAGATTGTCTATTAAATTTGATTATTCTTCGGCAATTGCATCGTGTTATAGCATATTAGACATTAAAATGATCTAAATTTATTTCTCTGTAATGTTTCAAAACAGATCAGAAGTGAACATATGAATAAAGATTGTGTTAACATTACTAAACCCTGCTGCTGTTATACAGTATATACCACGTGAACTGGAATTGAATAAAATATATACGCTTGTTGAAATTTAAGCAAATATTTCTAAAAAAGGTTTCTATTAATATAAGTTCGGTGTTTTATCCAAATTATTACTTGTATTAGGGATGGGCAACGATTAATCACGATTAATCGCATCCAAAATAAAAGTTTGTGTTTACATAATATATGTGTGTGTATTGTGTATAATTAATTCGAATGTATATATTTTATATAAATATTTGATGTATTAATAACACATTTTTCTTAAATATATACATGAATGTGTGGGTATTTATATATGCGAATTAATTATACACACTACACACACATATATATTATGTAAACACAAACTTTTATTTTGGATGCGATTAATCGTTGCCCATCCCTAACTTGTATACTGACCACCACCTACCTGTATCAGTCCAGCATGGCCATCTCAGACCTGGTCTCAATTGCAAGTTCAATGTTTTATTCAAAGCATTACTTCTATACAAATAATTCAGTAAAAATTAGTACACACATGAACCAAGATCTGTTCAGCATTTGAATGCACGCATTGAAAGCCAAAGCCCCGCCTCTCAACCTCCCTCCCTATCCGTCTACATTGTCTCCACCTCCTGTGATCTCAATATTTAATTAAGAACTGGACCGGCAGAGCACCAGATACACCCTCCACAAGTCTCGTCCGTTCCATCTCCTGTTCAAACGCATGTTTTTGGCCTCTTATTGCAAATGGACTTTCAGTGAAGTCTCGGAGTTCATTCTCACCCTTTTGTAAAGGTCTGTTGTACACTTCGAGCGAAATGGAGGAGTTTGTGGAGGACCACCATTGCGGAGACTCTCTCTTCCCAACCTCCACCCTCATTCCCGTCACCACCATTTGCGTCCTGCTCTTCATCGTTGGCGTAACCGGCAACACCATGACCATTCTCATCATCCAGCGCTTCAAGGACATGAAGACCACCACCAACCTGTATCTGTCCAGCATGGCCATCTCAGACCTGGTCATCTTCCTCAGCCTCCCCTTCGACCTCTACCGCCTCTGGAAGTACGTGCCTTGGGTCTTCGGGGGGCTGGTGTGCAGTCTGTCGCACTACATCAATGAAGCGTGCACCAACGCCACCATCCTCCACATCACAGTGCTCAGCATGGAGCGTTACCTGGCCATCTGCTTCCCTTTCAAAGCCAAGGCTGCCATCACCAAGAGGAGGGTCAAGTACGTCATCTTGGCTCTGTGGGGTTTCGCGCTGCTTTCCGCTGCACCGATGTTCTTTCTGATGGGCGTGGAGTACGAGAACGAGACGATACCTGACCCAGGCACCCGGCAGTGCAAGCACACGCGCTATGCCATCGACTCGGGGCTGCTGCACACCACCATCTGGGTGTCCACCACCTACTTCTTCTGCCCCATGTTTTGCCTGCTCTTCCTCTACGGATCCATCGGCCGAAAGTTGTGGAAGAGTCGTCATGAGCTTCATGGGCCTAATGCGGCAGCGAGGCAGAAGGTTAATCGGCAGACTGTCAAGATCCTGGGTGAGTTGGTCTTAGGTAGGGTTAAGGCTAGAATGCACTACACGACTTTCAACATCGGAACAGATTTCAAAGGAGTAGTTCACTTTTAAAAAAAACTTTTGCTGATAATTTACTCACCCCCCATGTCATCCAAGATGTCCATGTCTAAAGAAATTAAGATTTTTGATGAAAACATTCCAGGATTTTTCTCCAAATAATGGACTTCATTGGGAACCAAACGGTTCAAGGTCTAAAAGACAGTTTCAGTTCAGCTTTAAACGATTCCAGACGATGAATAAGGGTCTTATCAAGCGAAACGATCGCTCATTTTAAAAAAAATATAGCAAAGTTTAAGTTTTGTAAGCTCAAATGCTCGCCTTGCTCTGTTCTGTGATGCGCGTTCGTGACTTTCCTGTTTGAACTTGTTCATCAAAATGAACGAATCTTTTCTCGAGTCAACTCGTTCATTTCGTTCGTTGAATGAACCAAATGACATGAAAAAAGATTTGTTCATTTTGATAAAGGAGTCACGAACGCGCATCACAGAACAGAGCAAGGCGAGCATTTGAGCTTACAAAACTTAAACTTTGCTATTTATTTTTTAAATGAGCGATCGTTTCGCTTGATAAGACCCTTATTCATCGTCTGGAATCGTTTAAAGCCCTTTGAACAGTTTGCAGTTTGCACTGAAACTGTCTTTTGGACCTTGAACCGACTAAAAAAACGTAATTTCTTTTCGACTGAAGAAAAAAAGACATGGATTTCTTGGATGACATGGCGGTGAGTAAATTATCAGCAAAAGTTTTTTTAAAAAGTGAACTACTCCTTTAAGAACGGACCGTATCTTGAGTATGAGTCAAGACCAAGAGCTGACGAGTCCAAGACAAAGGCATCGAAATATGGTCTTTGGACTTGAGATCGAGTCCAACACTGCAACCAAGCTTCATGATCCCCAGCAAGAGGATTGTTGTAACGCTTTTGCTTTTAATGTTTGTAACTCTGGATTTATGTGCTATTTATCTAATTGATATTATTTCCCAACGTCTATTTGCCGCTAAACTAGAAAAACCATTGAATAAATATTTATAATTATTGAAATGTAAATTTTTACCTCCAAATATTTTTTTGTCCTTCTAAATCCTTAATATGTCAACCCCAAGCTCTTTTTGTTACTTCAGGTTGATAATATAGAGAGATTGAAAAAATGTAAATAAAAATTTGATTAGATTTGCAATGTTGATAACTGAAAATGTCATCGGTGTCTGCAAAACCGGTCCATTAGTAACTTTGTAGAAATGTATTTGCAATGTAAATGAAAGGTGTCAACTTGCGTGAGATGAAGCCGACAGACCTTGCAAATGTGTAACATCTTGTCTATTCATTAATCAGGCTCTTTATGTTGGGTTAATGAATGTGGCTGTTTTATGTTTATTAGAAGCCTTAATAAATCAGTGTCGGTAAGCGCCCACCCGTAACATGGACTTATTCTTCTATTATCCCCATATCCCATCTCCCTCTTCTCTTAGCTGTTGTTGTATTGGTCTTTGCCATATGCTGGCTGCCTTACCACATCGGTCGGTTCCTCTTCACTCACGTTGATGACTACCACTCGGCCCGCCTCAGTCAGAACTTCAACGTGGCCTCCATGGTGCTCTTCTACCTGAGCGCCTCAGTTAACCCAGTCCTCTACAACCTCATGTCCAACAAGTACCGCTCTGCCGTCAAACACCTCTTCCTGTTGCCCCGCCGCGGCCCCAACCGGAGGCATATCTCGACGCATGATGACACCACCGCCTGCACAGAGACGCTCAATGTGATGAAAGAGACCATGATGACCAGTGGCGAGTCTCAAGAGCCGGTTCCGCTTTAGAACCGTTACCAAATCTCCAAGAACTGTGGACCCGATTAGACGCGTACATTTCGATTCTGCTCAACCTGTGCGCATTTTAATGTGATTTCAAACCCTTCGAGTACAAGAAGACAGGAATGAGAGCTCCGTCAAAAAAACAACCTCTCAAGTAGTGCGTAAATACTGAATTGAGTTCTCCTTCATGTTGTCTTGTGCTTGAATGGATAAATACACAGAAAATTGTCAATTTCGTCTTACGTCATTGTAAACAGTTGAGAAAGAAAACACATGTGAAACAATATTTTGGATCCGTATAGCTCTTAACCCTCTGGAGACTAAGCCCTTTTTGGTCCGTATTCTCTATTTTTTCATTTTGGCTTATAAACCATATGTAATGGTAATGGAGATGGGATACTATGTGTTTGGTCTCTATGGATTCAGAAGACCCTAAGCTAACATAAGCATGCATGTAATGTATTAGTAAAGGAAGTATGAGTGAAAAATGTACAATATATTAGAGAATTTCAAAAAACGAAATTCGATTTTTGTCATTTATTTCTGAAAATCACACATCACACAACAATAGTGAACATTTTTTGAACAAAAAATATATTTCTCAAAGCCTTTGCTTGACAGACATGTGTAATTGTTCAATAAAATGTGTAAAGAACAATGAAAAATCGAACTTTATTTACAAATAGCCACGTGCGTTTTTCTTGGGAATGCTTAGAACTTTCTAAGCAATGCTTTCTCCTCGTCACTCTCCAGTAATTGTTCCAGAGCCTGTTCCACCGTAAATCGTTTACTGCTTGCCATCATAAAAGAGCTAAAATAAAAAATAATGCTATATATATATATATAGTACCACCCCTTGCAAGGGTACAGAGTCATCCGATTTACGGTGACCTTAACCGTACATGGTAACCTTGCCCTGATTAAGAAAAATATTTCTCCATCAGCAATTTTTCCATTGGTTGTTGCTTGTGAATCTGCCAAACAACATCGATTTCATTGGCCTTTGGTGGTGTGTATACAAGCCGGTTATCTCCGGGTATCCGGTTATCACTGTTTTCAGCGGAATCTGAGGAAGACGACAAAAAAGACCGCACCTCTCTGTCATGAATATTTTTTTAAGATAAGTACACATTTGTAAACGTGTGTAATTTTGGGCGGTGCCGCCCAATCTGTCCTCAGAGGGTTAAAGTGACAGCAGCCTAATAAACCTGCCGCCGTCTGTGTTAAAGGGTAACTAAACCCCTGGTCTCAGAGCCTGACTCCACCCACTGGCAATATTTAAAAAATGCTGGAAAAGTGGTAGACATGCACCTGAGACTCTCTCTCTCTGTAGGCAAGAGCGTTGTGAGCTGGTACCCTCTTACAACACAGGGCACCACAATAGGAAAATTCAACTGCAGTAGCCAACGTTCAACCTGAAGAGGGCAGCACTTTTTTTGCACCATTTATCGTAGAATTTAAACATTGCTCCCAAATGTCAAAAAATTACTTTATTAATCAATAAACAGCATTAATAAAGCCCCAGTCTTACGGACAAAAAAACAAACAAACAAAAAAAGTTGTTTTAGTTACCCTTTAATGTTAATTAAATGACAAATGAAAAAGAAATCACTGATATTGGCTGAATAACTTTAGTAACTTTTTTGCTCGCAAGTTTAAAATACGTATCACCGTATTTTCATGGTGATGTGTCATGCTTGATATTTCACACACCATAGCCACAATAGCACTGTATGACAGACGTGTCGCTTAGTTTTTACCTTTTTAATTCGAAATATTCACAAACTTGTTAACTATACAGCCCATTCTCACCCCCAAGGCATCACTTAACTGACGCCTTGGGAAGCATTTGGACATGCTTCAATATCTGACGCTTTAGGCGCCCTTTAGCGTCAGTTAGATGACGCCCTAGGATCGCGTGTACCCTACCCCCACCCCACACCTAAACCTAACCGCGTCCTTTAACTGACGCTTTCCTTTAGCGTCAGTTAGATGACGCCGTAGGATCGCGTCATGTAAGTGACTCTAAAGGGCGCCTAAAACGTCAAATATTGAAGCATGGTCAAAGGTGACGCCTTGGGGTGAGAATGTGTTGAACCATATCATAAACTATCTAATATTCCGATTTTCAAATATTTGTAAATGTATGTGTTTTGTCATTTAAACACTTTTTATAATGATCATTTTGGTGGCCATGTTTGTTTATATTTTTCTGTATAGCAATATGCATCCTGTAAACATTGTTTGAGAGGAGCTACATGACAACCACCTAATTGAAAACAAGCCCGCGTTGGATGACCATGTTTTGTTGATATATTGACTTGTGCTTCTATGCGCTATACAAAGTCATGGTTCTTCTGTGACAATGTGACATAAAATAATGGTATTCCGCTGCAACCTAATGTTTGTCAAGTTATTTTTTAAAACGTATTGGAATCTAAACTGGGAATCGATAAAATTCGATACCCAACCCTAATGATGATAGAGGAGGGCTTATAGGTTAGTAACATCATCCCACCTGAAGAGCACAGGAACCTGGGAGAAATGAATGAACTGTGGGCTTCTTGGATGAGAACTGGAAAAATCGGTGTGAACAAACAACGCGTTCTCATCCCAAAGCGCCATATAGGACGCTTTTGCAAAAGCGTAAATATCCAACGCACATGGCACCCTTTAACGTCTAATGAGACGCTTCGGTTATGGTTAAGTTTAGGTAAGGTGTAGGGTAAGGGTTAGACCACTAGGGGGCGCCTTCTGCCCAAATATATCTGCATCCCATTTCAGCGTCCTATATGGCGCTTTGGGATGAGAACGGGCTCCAACAAAAGGAAAAATTAGTTTGAAACTGGGCAGGGGGGAAATGACTGTTTCAGACAAAGGAATATCACAGTTATTATTAGTACACACTGATAATGTATCATTTTAGTGAATAGTAATCATGTTTAGGTCAATAATGTGATAATAGGTTTCATATAAAACATTAAAGGACATTTCGTGACTGCAATCGTCTAGATTTTGACTTTTTTTTCTCGTAAACTTGAGTATGATGAATTGTAAACCATTGCAGACACAAATGCAACATAACCTCATCTTAAGTCATTTTGTTTACGTCTTACAGAAAGCATCATCCAAATCTTGTAAATGAAAAGTAAAACTTGTTTACCATAGTATGACAAAATGGTGATTCGTGACATCATAACCACAGAGTAATGTTATACGGAAATCTCATTCCTGTAATACTTTATTTGTATTTTCATGAAATGATTCTATTCTGCCCTGTTGGATTTAGTTTCCTTTGTACATATTATTATCCATTATAGTATTATTGTATTGTAATCATTTAATAATATGATATTATTCTGGAAATAATTTTTTTTTTGTGTGTGGCTTTCTCTCATTTCCTTATTTTTGGCATTTTATGTGCAACTGTAGTGGTTTGACAGCCTTGATGACATCGCAGTCTTTACTTCAGCAGTAATCTACAAACAAGTGGATGTTTTAAAAAAAACTAAATTTGTTTTGACTAATATAAATACTAATAAATAAAAGTGCAGACCCTGTTTCCATCCTTGTGCTATTCAAAAATTTTAAACTTATTTTTAAAAAAAATTTTCGCGTAATTTAATAAATCCAGACAAAACTTGATACTGTGGAAGATCTCCATTGTTTTGAAGATAGCTGGACGTGTTGTACAGTGCTTTATCAGCAGGGGGAGACACTGTCTCAAATGATCTTTTGTGAGGTGAGAGCAATATTTTTTTTATTAATAAAATTACTAAAATATTTAATTATAATGAATAAGACTAAATTAAAATGTTAAATATATTTTTAAATAAAAATAATTACATTTTTCAGTTCATGGATTCAAACAAACGAGAAAAAATGAATTCCAGACAATCTTCCCTAAATTATCACTGAAACCTTAATTGTAGTTCAGACAGTTCTTCTATAATATATGTATTGAACAATTGTCTGCTGAAATCAGGCCTAATACCCATCTATCATTCTCCAATAACAGTTTTTGAAATGTCACAGTAGTGTTTCTTTACTGGTGGAGATCGCTACGTCCCAGAAAGCACTGAGACGGACATGTGGAATGTCATTGGCTCTCCTCGTGCTTCAAAGCGCTGTTATCAGGACTGGTTTTGTTCCTCCTGATGGAGAGCTTATTTTCTCTGAGCTAATCTCAAACTCCACCGGACATGAGCTCACTCAGCTGTGGCCGTGTTTATAAATATGGGTATGAAAAGGACAAGGAAGGAGTCTTCACAAAGGGTCTAGGTCACCTTGTAATTCAACTGTCCACCCAAAGATATTGTTGATGAATGGATAAACCCCGTAACGCCTTTTTGATGAAAAAAAAAAAAAAAAATCACCAAATTCTAAAACAAATATTTAGGAAGTATATTTAGATATATGTTTCTGTTAATCAGATTAGCCTATTCAGGTCTACACCTCTCCTTTAATCTGATCGAAATTGAATTCCGATGGAAATCGACTGAGGTGTTTACATGATGGCTTTGTCTGGTTGAGCCATCAAGCTGATTATAAATGGATAATGTTTATGCGTGAAAACGTAGATATGATGAAATATGGTCACCTGGACTAAACTGCTCAGAGGCCTTGAATAATAATAACACCTTTAATAAGATGGTCAGCTGATTAGTTCAAAAGCAACTTTCCTTTTCATGCTTTTCTTCGTTGATCTCTCTCTCTCTCTCTCTCTCTCACACACACACACACACACACACACACACACACAGAGAGAGAGACAGACTCTTCACATTCCTCTGTCACATGCTTGACATATGAACTGCACTTCTGTGTAAAATGCCTTCTCCCTCTGATGAAGTACTGTAGTGTTTAAGAAATAAACATGATATTCACTGTTATCCAACATGCCAACTTCCTTTCATGGAGATATTTACAATTCTATGCCATATTTTGAACTATACTGGGGCTTATTCATATTCGGCTGACATCATGGACAAACCCAAAGGTCTTTCTCAAGCCTATATCGTGCATGCATTGGCCCCACCAATATATGAATTTGTACAATCTGACTTGTATGTAAATTATTATGACTAAAAATATACAAATTGCATAATTCATACAAATTTGTAACCAAATGACCAAATCATAAAATACTTCAAAGTTCCCCTGTGGTAATCAAGTTTTTAATGTTGTTTATATGTATGTGGGGTTTTTAATGTGCTTTAAGACAAACCCTGTTTCATGTTTCAAACTGTGAGATTCATTAGTCCGCACCATTGCTGAGTACTTTCTCCTTGTACAGTCTCAAAAACACGGTTTGAAATCACCAATAACCAATCAGGTCAACGTTTGATCGTCAACGAGTGGATCTCTGAGCTGGGGTGAGTAAGTGGAGGCGGGGCTCATTTGCATAGTCATAGAACCGCATTTACTAAATGAGACAACGGTGTAGAGTTAAGAATTTTTTTAAAAAAATTTCTTTCAATTTTTAAATATGCAAATTATAGTAATAAACGTTTTAAAGGATACAATTACAGGGGGACCTTAAGAATGGTCACAAAACTGGCTAAAAGGGTTTCACAAGCTTGCTATAATAGCAAACTGCATTATTAACATTTTTTTCTCTTTTTTTTTTTTTTGGCCAAATTATTAAAACAACCAAATCTTAAGAGTAATTTGCTCTGAATCGGGAGACCGCTTGTTTCGTGTCTTAGGCCATCAATGTGTACTTACATTTACGAGTCATTAAATCACGTTTAATTTGGACTTCTCTGTGCATGCTCTTTGAGGTGGTGACCATATACCTCCATTATATGACTGACAGACAAGAACGGTTTGACTGAAAAATATCAAAATTGAAAATACTGTTGAATCAATCTTGAATGCCCTTGAGGTAAGATAAAACATACCAAAAAATAATTTCAAAGTGAACTATCCCTTTAAGGGTGATTGGGACATAAAGTCGAATGGGACAGGATACTGAGTTTATTTTCTCATCTGATTGGTGAAAATAAAAAGTGTTTTTGCTGACCCCTAGCTGTGAGACCACATAATCAAGATTGGACGCGCTTACTGGTGTGACCATAGATATGGGTGTGACATCCTGTAGGTGGGCGGGGCCAGGCATCAAACAGGAAGTTGAACCTGAAATTCATGAACTGAGGAAAATGACATTCCATTATAAGGTCCTAAAATTGTCTTAGCAACTATATTGTACAAATTTTTGATGGAAACACGAATATGATGCACTAAATCATTATGTTTCTGTTTTCAGAATAGGTTGTTTTTTTATTTATTTTGTCCCATCCACCCAAACACAATTTGGGTGATTGGGACAGTGCTTTGCTAATTAAGAAATTGATTAACTTTGCAATAGAGATGCATTGTTTACACTGTAAAAAATATTGTTGGTTTAACTTAAAAAAGTAAGTAACCTGGTTGCCTTAAAAGTTTAAGTTCATTGAACTGGAAAAAGTGAGTTAATACAATGAAGGAGAATGATTTAATCATCAGAAACTCAAAATTATATGTTATCTGAACTAAATAAATTATTATAAAGTTGATTTGACAAAAGAAAATATGTTGTGATTACTACACTGTAAAAAATATTGTTGGTTTAACTTAAAAAAGTAAGTAACCTGGGTTGCCTTAAACTTTTAAGTTGATTGAACTGCAAAAGTGAGTTAATACAATGAAGGAGATTAATTTAATCAGCAGAAACTCAAAATAATAAGTTATCTCAACTAAATAAATTATTATAAAGTTGATTTGACAAAAGAAAATATGTTGTGATAACAAATCTTACAGTGTATATGCTCTATGCTCTAAATCAGTGGTTCCCAGCCTCTTTATTTGTGGAAGCCCTAATCAACCACAAAAACATTCATGAGCTAGCTAGATTTTGCTCAAATAAAACGATCAAAATCTGAAAATAGAAACATTCAAGTATTTTTTTTTCTTTACTGATTGTGTTGCAGTAATAAACCGTACGCATGTTTCCATCAAAAGTTTCGTGTTAAATGCATTTGTCATTTAATTCAGACACCCAACATCTCATCCATTGCAAATGTATCAAAGTATAACCTGTGTACACAGTAAATATGCTTACACTACCCTACATTAATGAAAATATGTGCTGTGCCATTCTCCCAAACGTTGTGTCCCAACCACCCAAATATTAGCCCCCCAAAAATGTGATTTTGGCTTAGTTTACATAAAGTGTATCACATGACATCCCTTCATTAGCCTATAATATTAACTTTTTCCCCGTTAAAATGGATAATAACATCTTGAGTATTACAGAATTGTATTATATGTTGAGCTGATGTTTTGAACTGTCACAAATCATCCTTAGGTCACTGGCGCGTCTTTGAACTTTATTCGGCATAGTTGCGCATTCGTAATACCGAATTAAACATACGCGTCATATTTTTTTTATTCGCAGATTTGTATTCTCATCTTTCTTGCAGTAGCTTATTTTTTAATGAGACATCGCACATAGCCTATAAAATGCTTCAAATTCAAAATATCAATTCCGATGTCCAATGCTGATGCTCATGCATGCATCAATATTAAAACCAAGTTCAAATAGCCAAAATAATGACTGGGCTGACAGGCAGGACACTAGGGTTTGTACACACCCAGTGCGTGTGTCATAATTGGTCATGACTCATAACACTTCGTCTTTCAGTTTGATATGAGTGAGGAAAGTTGTGCGATCGCGATCAGACGAGGTTGCGCGGCGCTTTTGCGCTGTCGACGCCGCACAGTTTCTCTTCCTTTGTCGTTTGCGTTTTCAAGAGTTCGCATATCTGGGTGTTGCTGACTAAAGAAACAGAGTGAAGTGAAGGTGCTGTCACACTTGGAGAACAGAGAGACATCTCCACACACTCCGCTAGGATAACGAAGATCAACGCGGAAAAACGTGTTTGAGGATGGAGGTATGATTTTGGTTTATGTAGGCTATAATACTTTTTGCACCTGATTTTTATCTATTTATTTTTTAACTGTGCAAGACATAATTTAAATACTCATAGCCTACAATATAGGCTACTCCAATAGGCTTGATAACAGTAATTAATCAAATGTCTGACACGCGTGTTTGTATCGACATTTCAGCATTAATTTAACTTCCTCGAACACTATTAAGAATAGTAATCATATAGTAGCCTGTAATAGCCAATGTATTATTATGACATTTCAAACGCATGAATGTGCTTTAATGACTGTCAAACTTGCAATGATGTTTGTTAATTTTAAATACTAAGAAACTAAAAAAACACATATTTATAGGAAACTTAAGAAAGTTTAGTGTCTTTATAGACTGTAAAAAAAGATTAGTTGACTTAACTTTGCTCAGTCAACGCAACAAGATCGATGACTTGACTTTTAAGTTGACTCAACTAATCTTTATTTTACAGTGCTGGTACTGTAATCCTTTAGTTTGGACCCAGATGTCCTCCAAAATATGTTTACCCTTAAATCTCCGTTAGCCTACAGTGTGACAGATAAGCTAACAGACACATGCTGGTAAAATGACTGCTCAGAAGTAACCCAAATTACCACAACATGAGGAAGGAAGGGCCGTCTGTAGAATATCTGTCTGTGTGAAAGAGCGAGCTTTGATTTTCCTCTCAGCCTCGGGCGTTAAAGTTCCTCACGTGCCGCGTGACGCTCGGGTTGTTACAAGTGTAATCAAAGAGCGTTCAACTCTTTTCTTGGAGTTCGTCTTAAAACCCTGGTAAAGGGGATGTGAAAAGAGGAGGTATACTTTCCCACAGAAATTACTTGTCTGCACTACCATCAAAATGTTTCTGGTCATCGTCCGAAAAACCTATCTGGCTTTTGCTTTATGGACTGGAATTAGCTCAAAAACATATTTGCCTAATGTGTCAAAAGAAACGGAAAGAGAGCAGCCAACAAATTCTTCAATAATGTTTAACCTTTCATGAATATTTAAATTACATAATACAAGGGTGTAAATTTGGTTTGAACCTTTGGGGGGTAGCTTTTGTGGTAGCTATACCCACACATGCAAAGTGTTTTACCGCAATTGATTAATAACTCACGAAATTCATTGTTTTGCGTTGGAAACACAATTGCGTTGGAATTAAGTATTTTATATTATTTAGGCATCTGGAACTCTTTCAGTTTGACAGTTTTATTAACTTCTAGCCTACTTCTTAAATCTAACTTTCATTTCTTCAGGCTCTTGATAATCTTTTTGGATATCAGAAAGCCAGGTTTTCCCTAATATCAGACATCATTAGAACACATTTAATCAGAGAAAACTGTAATTGGTCCATAATTTAGTTTAAAGCTCTGGATTCTCTCTCATTACGATGCTTTAGGCCAATGTATGTCGATTGGAGCGCTTCACGCAAGTCTGGTGACTCACACACCATTCATGCAAAATGAAATAACAGGCTTCAGTCATGATTCCATTAAACATGGTATAAACGCAATTTTTGCTAAATTGTACATATTTTACGAGTTGGCCAATTCGTATGAATTTGTACGAATGACCTACCTCTGACCCGCCCCTAAACCTACCCATCACGTGGGTTTAGACAAATCGAGTGAGGTCGTATGAATTAGGACGAATTAGGCACTTTTTAATCACTCGTACAAATTCGTACGAATTGGTCCTGAGATAGCATTGGTAGTTTTCATGAAAACCCCGGAGCTGTAAAATTACACGGTAACACTTTACAATAAGGTTCATTAGTTAACATTAGTTAACTACATTAGTTAACATGTACAATATGTGAACAATACTTCTTCAGCATTTATTAATCTTAGTTAATATTAATTCCAACATTTACTAATACGTTATTAAAATCAAAGGTTGTATTAGTTAACATTAGTTAATGGACTGTGAACTAACATGAACGCACCATGAACAGCTGTATTTGTATTAACTAACATTAACAAAGATTAATAAACACTGTAACTAATGTATTGCTCATCGTTAGTTCATGTTAGTTAATGCATTTACTAATGTTAACTAATGAACCTTATTGTAAAGTGTTACCAATTACACTTTAACTGTTTGTGTTTACACAAGCCTTGGAGTCTTAAGCTTGCAATGACACATGCTTCAGATGTTTGGCCAATCACAGCACATTAGGTCAGCTAGCCAATCAGAGCACCAGAAGGAGGGGCTTTGTTGAAATCTGTGTGTTTCAGACAGACTGGGAATAGAGGTGCTGCAATAATGTACGGTATGTGAAACTGTACATTATTTAGTCAGCAACAGTATACCCAATAACCTAAATAATGAACTTTTACAATAGCATCACACGGCCTGTTTTAAAATTTTTGTCTGCCTATTGGAATTTAATTAATTGAATTAAAGTCGTTAAAAATAAAATGACTAAAAAGGACAGTCAGTTGAATTATGGGTAAGGGTCAAAGGTAATAATGAGTGATTCTGTCCTAGTCATGCATCAGAGGCTTAAAAAGCATCACAGATGGATATTTTGGTTACAGAATTCCCATACGTCTGTCTGTCCATTGTTACTATTATGCTAAAACGTAGAAATTGTACTACTAAACAAGCTAGTAGATTAATGTAAAGAGAAAAGAAGAGCTTCACAGAGTCACAGCACTGCAGAAAGCAAGACCATGTGAGAAAGATGAGGAAAATCCCACATGCCATTTCACTTAGAGAACGGGGAGTCCCCTCTGCTTGAGTTTATGATCATCATGTTGTGGAAGAAGGAAAGCCAACACAGAATAACTCAAGATGCAATAAAGTAGCCAAATATATGGGTAACATGTTATATTAAGTAATATATTTAGTAAGCCAACAATATTCCAAGTGCCATTGGAAGCTGCCACAGTTACAGAGCATACAGTGCCTCGAATGCAATTAATATAAGAGCACCTGTTATTTGCTACAAATATATATGGATGGGAGTAGAGCCAGACCGATATATCGGCAGGTCGATATTATCGGCCGATAATAGGCATTTTCAAACTATCGGTATCGGCAGTTATAATGGCAGATAAATGAATATTTAAAAAATAAAATGAAAACGGACGAAACACGCTTGAACCATGTCATGAGTGTTGGAGTTGTATAGTTTGTCCACCAGAGGGCACTCAGTCATCAGTCTGTTCTGTTGTGACAATAAAAGAAACAAATTTCTTTATAAAATGCTTTATCATATTATTTTAGTTAAAACTCATAAATAACTACAAATAACTAATGTTAGGGAAATCTGTTCAGAAGTTTCGGGGAAAAAAAATATCGGCCGATATATCGGAATATCGGATTTTAAAACCAACAAATATTTGTATCGGTATCGGCCTTCAAAATCCTTTATCGGTCGGGCTCTAGATGGGAGTTAATAAAACAGTTAATGAAAAGAATATATATTAAAGCTACACTGTGTGATTTTTACCCCCATCTAGCGGTGAAAAGGTATATGACCTTCCAGTGAATATTAGTTTCGGTTCCTCTCAATTCTGATTTCCTTTTAACTCCTACGGTGGCCAATGTAGTCCAAGATTAACATCGCTTCCAGTTCGACCTCGTCCATGAGTGTTAACTCAAACGTAAACGCGAAAGGCGAAGCTTTAATTAACGGGTGTGTCCCTCTTTGGCTAATGTACTTTCAAGATGGAGGGTCAACATTAATGAGCAGATATATTTTTGAAAGAACTAAGTGTTTTTAGCTAAGAATAAACTAAAAGAGTTACACAGTGTACCTTTAAAAAAGAAGTTTTCTTATGGTTAAGAAAAAACCAGCATCTGTGGTTGCTGTTCCGAGGTAGACTGACCACGAGCTATGAGGTTGTGAAACGAAGGTTTTTGCTCCTGTTGAAGCTATAAGTTCGTGTGAAATCAACCTTGTTTAAAGAAAAACATGTTTTATCTGCGATCTTATGGAAAAAAAAATACACTACCCACAATCCTAAGCGTAGTAGCAATGTCTGCTGATTGGTCCAACTCGCTTTTGTTACCATAGATTTGTTACCACGTTTAACTTACTGGCGAATGGCTAGAGCGTACTTACTGGCGGCTGTTGTTGTGGTGTACCGGGTTGCTCTGCATCAGCCATACCTCAGCTTTCACGCTTTCCCACTAGAGGGTTTTCATTTACCATCTGAACCACATCGTCATATGTGACTTCAGGCAGGTTGCGTAGAGATTCGGTCCAGCGATATCTATCGGACTCCACCATTGTAAAAAGCTAACCGGGGGAGCCGTATCCCCACTAAAAGACGTACTTCCGGTCTTCAATTTTTTGTGACATGCCCTTCCAAATGTGTATGACTTTCTCTCCTCAGTGGAACACAAATGCACAATGACCTGTTAAATCTTGTGAAGTCCTAAAGCTTTGTGAGGAACACATTGAAGCCTGGAAGAGTTTGGTTTGTGTTGTAGACATGTCTAGAAGCATGGCGTTTTGTTTCCGACACATGATGTAAGCAGTCGACCAATCACAACAGACTGGGTGACCAATCAGAGTAGAGTTGGATTTCAGAAGGGTAGAGTTTAGAGAATGAATCTTTTATTGAACCGTTTTAGGGACTGTAAGAAAATAGGTAATGCTCCAATGTATATTATTATGAGAAAAGTGTTTTTTGACCGAGACGATGCATGTATACCTATTGTAGGAGACAAAACTAGGAGCCTTTAAATAGCATAATAAGGGCACGAAACTTCAGCTTTGAATAAAAAACAGTTTTGAAGCTGTGGATATGTAATAAACACAGAATAAACATTATGTCCAGCTTATCTTTAGTATTATACTACTGTCAAACATTGGTATTCATTCCTGTTGTACACCTTGTCAATGGCGTAATGTTCCCTCCTGTCAGGCCTCATGATGTGGTAGCTGTTTATCCCATTGCTTTGAGTGATGTAACACACTGAGAGCCTTTGTAAAAACACAAGCTGTGTGCCTGAAAGGCCGGCAAAGGCAGTGGA